ACGACTGTTTGTTTGATGACAGGAGATATTTCGTCTTGCCCTCGTTCACTGCCAGACCCATTTGTGTTGCTTCCTTCCTTCCTACATCCATAATTACGTGTATATAATTGATAGAAAATATATTTTTAACATCTAAAGACGTATTAAGTGCAAAAGTGAATATTTAATTTCGGGAAATACGATGTTTCCGTATTAAAACAAAGAAAATATTGTTTTTAAAGGCATGCGCCATACATATTCGTAAAGTAGAATTAACGAGTATTTTAAGATATTTCCCGTGAAAATTGGTGCACGTTTTCGGAAAAGCCGCTCTCCTGAACATTTCCCGCAATTCCATCCCGTGAATTATGATATTATACCATGTTCAGACCGACTCTTAATCACACGAATTCGGATGCTGAGTGGATTATCCCACTAATGTTTATCAAGATTTCGCCATACAAAAATGACAGTTTAAAATCACTTCATCATAATGATTTGAAACTTATTCACGTTAAATCTGTCTGTGCGACTCTGATTTTGGGCCATCTGTTGGTAAAATTTGTTTAATCACAGCTGATTTTTACATTATAAACTGTCAGACTTTAAAACTAATACCATGTTCAAACCGAAAATTTAAAAGATTAGATTACATCTAAGCATTTCATAACGGAACAGTGTTCTCACTGCCGTTAAAAATATCAAAAAACAGCTGTTATTGTCATTCAAGAATTCACATCGCTTAATATTTATCAAGAGAAAAGATTGTCATATAGTATTTCGAAATAAAAGCCGTCATTTTTTAAATATTTTCCATATAATAGAAATAATGGATGCATTTTTTCGTTTGTTAAGTCGATTTTCAGGTGAAATTAGATTCATTGCTTTATAAAAAATTGTTTGTTTACATTTTTTTCCTTTTGTAGTGTCTAAATCAGCTGTGATAATGTATTAGATTTTCAATGCTGCCAAGTAGATGGCGCAAAATCACAGTCGCACAGAGCGATTTAGCGTGGATCACTTTCAAATCATTTCGATGAAGTGATTTTGAACTGTCATTTTTGTATGGCGACAACAACAACACTTGTGATTGAGTGTCGGTCTGAACATGATGTTACAAAGAAGACAAAAAAATAATACCAATAATCGTCGTTGGTTACAAATCAAAGTACAATTTATGAATCACAATATCGGCCATCACTACAAATATTGGTAAATGTTCAGGAGAGCGAGTTTTCCGAAAACATGCACCAATTTTCACGGGAAATGTCTTAAAATACGTGTTTTAAAAACAATAAAAAAATATAACGATTTTGTACAATACATCACTAGTGATACAAGCAGTGTTCGGTTTCGAAATATCGATATTCGAGAGAAAATGTATTTGTCATGAATGTACATAAAAACAAAGCAAAGAAAATAGGAGTGAATTGCATATAAAATTGTGAAACTTTAAAGTGAAACGTGTCGAAAACTAGAGTCTGAGCACGGTATATGTGTATACATTTTTTAATCCTGAGGACCTCATCTATCCATCTGTACCATCAAATACCATCTCCGAAAGAATCGTAATCGTGTCAAATTTTGATAAACGGTAAACCGGGAAACCCCCGCCCGCAATTAATAAATCTTAAACTTCATAAATCCAATCTCAAATCAATATATTTCGCAAATGGAAATTGTATGATGGGGTACGAAAAGAAAAATGTATAACATTCAAAATCTCTCACATGGGTTTGCAACAAAGTGGACAATTTTCTGTATACAGCTTGCATTGTTTGAAGCAATTTTCGTGCAAAGCGTGGCCGCATCGCAGATATGTCATATTTTCATTCTCCAATTTCTTAAGACAAATGGCACAAGCATCTCCGGGAGATCTAGAAATTCAAAACCAATTTACAAACTTATAACCCAGTAAATTAAGTTCACTTACGAATTAAATCTTGGTGTATATCCATCTTCACTGTTTGTACTTTTTCGGCGTCTTTCTTGATGATAGCCAACCTGAGGTGGACGCACAAGTAACAAGGCAAACAGGCCTACAAAAGCACCAACCATCACTTGCCATACAGGAATCATAGTTCAATTTGGTTTTATATAGAGAATATACTAAATTTTTATGTAACGGGCGTAATAGTACCACTTTGAAAAACAATTTGCTTTTGCGCGACAATTAACAGAGTCAAAATCTCGAACCGCAAATAACTAGTGATGAGCGATATTTCACTACTTTAATTTTTTAGCAGTTCACTGTATGAATTGTGACAGCAATTTTATCCCGTGAATTGTGATGTGTTGWACACAATGCTCGCGACAGACTGCAGCAGCACGACAGTGAACTGAAAATGGCGTTGATAATCCTACTACATGAACGTTTGTGAGAGGGCGGCAACATAACTATGACCGACATGTACACAAAACAACGCAGTTGTCCATTTTGCATGTACACAATTTCGTTGTGGCCATWCTAATACCTTGCACTTCAATGAAATTTTAATATTTTGTTCAAAGTGAAATTTTTAAACAAAAAAATAAGCAAATAAATAAATTTATTTGATTTAAATTATCAATTGTTATTATAAATGATGTAACAGACCTATTTTATGCTTTTATTTGTAAAATAACGTCAGTTTTCTTAGAGCTTTGAGTAATTTTACATATTAGTTACATCACCACTCTACCTCATCTCTCTATCTTCCATTCTACTGTCAACTCTACTATCGTTGGCAAATATAGGATTAGATTGAAGTTAGCGAGAACGACAACTATCGGTCTGCAGTCATTTAGTCGTGTAGCTGTCAAAATAGGTCCGTCCTTAAGAACGTGTGTATTTTAATATTTGACAGATGTCGCTTGTAGTCTGTCGCGAGCATTATATTCAACACATGAATGCAACTGTCAAATAAACAAAATACTTAAAATTTACAAAGCGAAGGATTTTTTGTATCAAAACGAGAATGACTATATTTGGAAAAATTGCTATACATTTTTTTTTCTAACTTTGCGATATAAATTTAAAATTAAGCGAAAACGCCGTAGCCTAAATTTGTAATCATGAAAATGGAGAGTATGGCATCAACATCAACAATCATATGTCTTTGTTATTTATTTACTATTTTATGTATCCTTATTTATGTGATATTACTGGGAATTCACATATTTGAGTGTTTTCGTTAATTTTTACTTTGTTCGTAATATTTTTCCACAGCAAATTTCACTGTACATAAATTTTACTGACCAAAATATGCGACTGAACGAGAACACGAAAATCGTAGGAAAGAAAGTAATTTTAGTGCCATACTGTGCAGCACATGTCGAAAAATATCACGAATGGATGAAATCCCCGGAACTACAAGAGTTAACTGCTTCAGAGCCTCTCTCGCTTCAAGAGGAATATGAAATGCAACGAAGTTGGCGTGAAGATGAAGACAAATGTACATTTCTAGTTTTATGCAGAACTACTTATGAACAAACTGATGATGAAATTTACTCATTGGTAGGAGATACAAATTTGTTCTTGAGAGTGGAGGATGGTGGTGAAGGAACAGACTCAAGCTACCAAGTGGCCGAAGCAGAGATAATGATAGCAGAACCAGAAGCTCGCAGTAAAGGATGCGGATGGGAAGCAATGCTTTTGTTGTTGAAATATGCTTTAAGAAATTTAAATATTAAACAGTTTGAAGTCAAGATTGGTACAAAAAATGCAAAATCGTTACGCATGTTCAGTAAAATGCACTTCAAAGAGGTATCACGTTCAGCTGTATTTGAAGAAATCACAATGGTACTAATGATCGATGAAGAGTGGATAAAATGGTTGGACGGACAGGTGACTTTGCATTGTGAAAATTACAGAAATAACGATTTATGCGATTAGTAGAAATAAATGATCATAACGTTTAAGGTACATTTTGTAAAGTACTGTTTGTTTATTTCGATTAAAAAGAAAACAGTTTTGTATCATATGTACTTACACACGTGTATACATAACTGTCTAAATTCAAAAAATATTTTATTGTTTGGTATATATTATTTTCGTCGGGGTTACAATCTCCTTTAGGGTATATAAAAATCGAAAATAATTATATTTAAGTTTTTTAATTGTTAACGGAGGGTTTGAATGGTTGCAAACCTATCGTTAATTCGAAAACACGGGCTAGCTAGTTACATACATATATCTAGTATATGGACAAGGATACTATATTCGATAGATAAAGTATTGAAAACAATTTGTGTGAAAAATTTAACCAATATTTAAAATTTATTTTTTTTCGATTAATCACAAATGCCAAAAATAAGATTAAACATTCAAAATATGTTCACAATGAAGCAAACAATAAAGGCAGAATAATGTCAATATTAACTATGGTGATAAAATGATATTCATAAAAAAGTATTGTATCCAATTAATAACTCAGCAATTTCAGTATAAAATTGTCGTTTGTCAAAATTGATAAATACGTATTTAAATGTATTTTAAAAGCCATTTTATTCTTTTAGTACCTTTTGCTTCTTTAATTAATAAAAAGAACAATAAACGAAATAAAATCGATTTGCTTTTAAAACGGCTACTTTACAAATTTTTTTCTTGAAAGCATAAACCAACATTTTGATGAAAACTAATTGCATGTATTCTTACAATCTCCGCTTAAATAATATAATATATTTTATATTCATTTGCAAGGCTAATAAAGATCAAGAATCAGACGTCTTAAGTTTGCCGGATCCTGTATGTTGTTGTCTTCTCTCTTTACTATTGTGATGAACTGAGCAGAATTCAATTATTTAGTTATAATTTCTGTATAGGTATTAATGTTACTTTAAATATGTAAATATGTGTGATTGAGGACTTGTTCAAGCCATCGCACGTGGACCATCGATTGGCATTCTATGTAACACTTCGTCCAGCAGTTGTAGAGCTCGATGCAAATGCACCTCTATCCAACAAGGTGTCTCCTTTATTGATTGTCTTGGATAATCAGGTCCCCAGCCTTTAACAAAACTTAAACGTAAAATACACAAACGACGTAAATCGTCAACACCGATACCAGCTGCTGCGGTAATATCTAAAAGAGCGAATTTTACAAATAATAGATTAAATGCAAGTCAAACTTAAAGTAATGCTCTCATTTATCTTGTTTACTCACTTCGCGGCGCACCGCCCATTTGCGAGTTTGGGAGTCCAGCAACCGCTGCAGCTTGAGCAGCTGCAGCCGCTTGTGCATTTGTCGCCAATGAATGCATTTGTTGATGGCACTGACGYAAATCAAAAACCTATGGTTGAAGAAACTTTGTCATTAAAGAATATATATATTTTTTTGTAAGTATTCGCTCACTTTAATACAGGCAACCGGATATATTTTATGTACAGCGTCGCCTGGAGTTCGACCAGCTTCACGATCGAGATAGTAACTTTGTACAAAAACAGAATTGTCACTTAGACAGCGCAACCATNGTAACGGGCGTAATAGTACCGCTTTGAAAAACAATTTGCTTTTGCGCGACAATTAACAGAGTCAAAATCTCGAACCGCAAATAACTAGTGATGAGCGATATTTCACTACTTTAATTTTTTAGCAGTTCACTGTATGAATTGTGACAGCAATTTTATCCCGTGAATTGTGATGTGTTGWACACAATGCTCGCGACAGACTGCAGCAGCACGACAGTGAACTGAAAATGGCGTTGATAATCCTACTACATGAACGTTTGTGAGAGGGCGGCAACATAACTATGACCGACATGTACACAAAACAACGCAGTTGTCCATTTTGCATGTACACAATTTCGTTGTGGCCATWCTAATACCTTGCACTTCAATGAAATTTTAATATTTTGTTCAAAGTGAAATTTTTAAACAAAAAAATAAGCAAATAAATAAATTTATTTGATTTAAATTATCAATTGTTATTATAAATGATGTAACAGACCTATTTTATGCTTTTATTTGTAAAATAACGTCAGTTTTCTTAGAGCTTTGAGTAATTTTACATATTAGTTACATCACCACTCTACCTCATCTCTCTATCTTCCATTCTACTGTCAACTCTACTATCGTTGGCAAATATAGGATTAGATTGAAGTTAGCGAGAACGACAACTATCGGTCTGCAGTCATTTAGTCGTGTAGCTGTCAAAATAGGTCCGTCCTTAAGAACGTGTGTATTTTAATATTTGACAGATGTCGCTTGTAGTCTGTCGCGAGCATTATATTCAACACATGAATGCAACTGTCAAATAAACAAAATACTTAAAATTTACAAAGCGAAGGATTTTTTGTATCAAAACGAGAATGACTATATTTGGAAAAATTGCTATACATTTTTTTTTCTAACTTTGCGATATAAATTTAAAATTAAGCGAAAACGCCGTAGCCTAAATTTGTAATCATGAAAATGGAGAGTATGGCATCAACATCAACAATCATATGTCTTTGTTATTTATTTACTATTTTATGTATCCTTATTTATGTGATATTACTGGGAATTCACATATTTGAGTGTTTTCGTTAATTTTTACTTTGTTCGTAATATTTTTCCACAGCAAATTTCACTGTACATAAATTTTACTGACCAAAATATGCGACTGAACGAGAACACGAAAATCGTAGGAAAGAAAGTAATTTTAGTGCCATACTGTGCAGCACATGTCGAAAAATATCACGAATGGATGAAATCCCCGGAACTACAAGAGTTAACTGCTTCAGAGCCTCTCTCGCTTCAAGAGGAATATGAAATGCAACGAAGTTGGCGTGAAGATGAAGACAAATGTACATTTCTAGTTTTATGCAGAACTACTTATGAACAAACTGATGATGAAATTTACTCATTGGTAGGAGATACAAATTTGTTCTTGAGAGTGGAGGATGGTGGTGAAGGAACAGACTCAAGCTACCAAGTGGCCGAAGCAGAGATAATGATAGCAGAACCAGAAGCTCGCAGTAAAGGATGCGGATGGGAAGCAATGCTTTTGTTGTTGAAATATGCTTTAAGAAATTTAAATATTAAACAGTTTGAAGTCAAGATTGGTACAAAAAATGCAAAATCGTTACGCATGTTCAGTAAAATGCACTTCAAAGAGGTATCACGTTCAGCTGTATTTGAAGAAATCACAATGGTACTAATGATCGATGAAGAGTGGATAAAATGGTTGGACGGACAGGTGACTTTGCATTGTGAAAATTACAGAAATAACGATTTATGCGATTAGTAGAAATAAATGATCATAACGTTTAAGGTACATTTTGTAAAGTACTGTTTGTTTATTTCGATTAAAAAGAAAACAGTTTTGTATCATATGTACTTACACACGTGTATACATAACTGTCTAAATTCAAAAAATATTTTATTGTTTGGTATATATTATTTTCGTCGGGGTTACAATCTCCTTTAGGGTATATAAAAATCGAAAATAATTATATTTAAGTTTTTTAATTGTTAACGGAGGGTTTGAATGGTTGCAAACCTATCGTTAATTCGAAAACACGGGCTAGCTAGTTACATACATATATCTAGTATATGGACAAGGATACTATATTCGATAGATAAAGTATTGAAAACAATTTGTGTGAAAAATTTAACCAATATTTAAAATTTATTTTTTTTCGATTAATCACAAATGCCAAAAATAAGATTAAACATTCAAAATATGTTCACAATGAAGCAAACAATAAAGGCAGAATAATGTCAATATTAACTATGGTGATAAAATGATATTCATAAAAAAGTATTGTATCCAATTAATAACTCAGCAATTTCAGTATAAAATTGTCGTTTGTCAAAATTGATAAATACGTATTTAAATGTATTTTAAAAGCCATTTTATTCTTTTAGTACCTTTTGCTTCTTTAATTAATAAAAAGAACAATAAACGAAATAAAATCGATTTGCTTTTAAAACGGCTACTTTACAAATTTTTTTCTTGAAAGCATAAACCAACATTTTGATGAAAACTAATTGCATGTATTCTTACAATCTCCGCTTAAATAATATAATATATTTTATATTCATTTGCAAGGCTAATAAAGATCAAGAATCAGACGTCTTAAGTTTGCCGGATCCTGTATGTTGTTGTCTTCTCTCTTTACTATTGTGATGAACTGAGCAGAATTCAATTATTTAGTTATAATTTCTGTATAGGTATTAATGTTACTTTAAATATGTAAATATGTGTGATTGAGGACTTGTTCAAGCCATCGCACGTGGACCATCGATTGGCATTCTATGTAACACTTCGTCCAGCAGTTGTAGAGCTCGATGCAAATGCACCTCTATCCAACAAGGTGTCTCCTTTATTGATTGTCTTGGATAATCAGGTCCCCAGCCTTTAACAAAACTTAAACGTAAAATACACAAACGACGTAAATCGTCAACACCGATACCAGCTGCTGCGGTAATATCTAAAAGAGCGAATTTTACAAATAATAGATTAAATGCAAGTCAAACTTAAAGTAATGCTCTCATTTATCTTGTTTACTCACTTCGCGGCGCACCGCCCATTTGCGAGTTTGGGAGTCCAGCAACCGCTGCAGCTTGAGCAGCTGCAGCCGCTTGTGCATTTGTCGCCAATGAATGCATTTGTTGATGGCACTGACGYAAATCAAAAACCTATGGTTGAAGAAACTTTGTCATTAAAGAATATATATATTTTTTTGTAAGTATTCGCTCACTTTAATACAGGCAACCGGATATATTTTATGTACAGCGTCGCCTGGAGTTCGACCAGCTTCACGATCGAGATAGTAACTTTGTACAAAAACAGAATTGTCACTTAGACAGCGCAACCATACGTCACCTTCTCCGCGGAGATCTAGTTGAACTCCTTTACCAATGTGCAGTCTATAGAACAAGGAACATATATATATAATATTCTTAGGCATATAGATATTGATCCGCTGAAGCCCACCTAGCGCGTTCCGATTGTTCAGTGCGATGTACATTGCTTAATGCGCCCAGACAAAACCGATTGCCACCCGAAGGATCAACATATCCGTCGATAATGACATTTGGTTTCGCCGATGGCACTTTGAATGTTTCCCCCACCTGTGTGTCCAATTCGAAGTAAGCGATGGAACACCAATATTCTGGCGCTGGTTGGCGGGACAACATGCGTGGCTGTTGTTGTTGTTGTTGATTAGCACTCATATCACCACTCAATGGGGCATTCCCTGTAAACAAGAATATACTATACATAATAGCGTATTAACAATATAAAATATTTAAATCTTACAGTATCCTGTTGAATGTGTTCGTGGATCAGGAGGTTGCATTGATTGCGTGTAGGTGAGTGTGCTGGATCCAGTCCATGTACCACCTGCACCCACTGTTCCACCAGATACTACTTGACCACCAGAATTGGTTTGCGTAGCAGATTGTGGTCCATTGGCTCCAACATTGCCGGCACCTCCTACTTGCTGGACATAATTGGATGGCGCACCACCACCGGTTACATAACCATTCTGTTGCAGATGTGGTGAATGTGGCTGTTGTACACCACCACCTGGGCCGGGGTTATTCAATGCAGCATTAAATTTGGCTTCTGCGACATTGGGCAACTGGGATGTCGTCGGCGGACCATAATATGCTCCTTGATTTGGACCAGCAGTTCCAGCACCGCCACTAACGTTTACGCCAACACCATTATTGGCACCGCCACCGGCGCCCTGAGCTTGCTGCAATGCATCACTGGGTGAATTTGCTTGAGTATGATGGCCCGCTCCAGGTAAAATATTGCCATTTGGGCCGTTGCCTTGAGGATTCTGCAATTGAGGCGGGGGAGGCGGCCCCATAACGGGTCCACCGGAGTTCATTGGTCCAGACAACGGCATACCGTGCGGAACAGCTAACATTACAAAATAAAATGGATTTAGATGTTAAAATTTAATATCACAGCCTTTATGTAAAAGTTTCGATACAAATTTTTCGAACAATAATTGCGTTGTAAATACATAACAAGTCAAATAATACAACTTAATAATATAAAATTTACTTTTATGATAAAATAAAAATATATATAAACAAAGGAACCACATAAATTGCAAAAGCTTACAAAGCGGGTGTTGGGAAACTTGGGCCGCACGTTGTTGCTGCGATTGTGGTGGTTGTTGTTGCGGTGGTTGTGGTTGCGTTTGTGGTACTGGCTGTGGCTGACCCAACCGTGGCGGTGGCGGCACCATCCAAGCACCACGTGGCATACCGCTACCATCGCCAGGCTCAATTTTAGGTATTGTGCGCCCCGCAACGAACATAGAATTCATTGTGTGATTTGTATCAGCAACTAAAAATGTCAATTAACAAAAATTAAAACTAAAATATAACCATGACCCGTAAGTAATGATAAATATAAAGTCTATAACACAAGTGAATACAACAAATAAGAATAAAAAAATTTAAAAAAAAAATTAAAAATATTGGTAAATTATAATACCTCCTCCTTGGGGGTATCCATAGCCTGGTCCAAGCACCTGCGATGGATGGTGTTGTATTGTGCCAATGTCATTTCCATCAATGTCCATACCTCCCACTAATGGGCCAGCCGAGTATTCATCTTTTACCAAACGACTGGGTCCGGACTGCAGACTTAGACCAGATAAATCAATGCCTGGTGACACAACTCGCTCATAATGATATGGATTCACGCACACTGAATCACATTTGAGATCAAAAGCATATGCACAGTATTTGACGTGCTTTAGTTCATTTTTATGAAGATCTGGCCATCGCCAAATACGGGCATATATAACATGCGGAAAGCCTTTTCTCCCTGCAACCTAAAAAATACAAGATGTTTAGACATGTTAATATGAATAGAAACTAGAGTATCAATCATAGTAATGTCTATATATATGTACTTAAATACATATGTAATAAATGATACAATCACCTGCAATCTACCATCCAGCGTTCGTTGTATAGTCACGCATTTGCTTGGATGTGCACCATTTGTGGTGATAGCTGTTATCAGCGAATCCAATTCATCACGCTTTTCTTTTAACTTCTTTACCAGTGATTCTATAGCCCGTTTTGCAAACCCCTCACTTTCCCCACCTTGTCGATGGCACATTAATGAATGAACAATGCTAAGACATGCATCTGCAGATGTGGGAGCATTTGACGGAGGTGGTGGCATCTGTACCATGTCGCGCACTATTAATGCTAAAAAAAAATTTACGAAATAGTAAATAAGGTAAAAACTTTTTATATAGGTGTCTATAAATTATATATTTATGTACTTACATTCTTGTGACGGCACTGGCCCATATAGGTGACCCCCAGGACCGCCTGCACCACCCCCGCCGGCTAAGCCCACCATACCTGCGTAGTCCTGGGGAACACCCAAACCGCCCCGGGCATCCACTTTGCCGGTGTTCGGGCTATCGCCGTCACAAAAGCTAAATCCAGATGACGACCACAAATTGACTGCTCTTTTTAGGCGGACAATTAGCCGCCAACAAATCCAGACGGGAAAATATGTATATCAAATTAAAATAATTAGTTTAAGYGTCGCGAATTAGTCTACAGTTGCACTTGAAGGAATTGATTTATTAATATACAATTCAGTCTTATGAAAACACTGAAAGTATTTCAAGTTGTCGCTCTATTCGATTAAAATCAAAAATAAATGAATAATTGAATACAATATTATAAGGTTGATCTCTTTGCTATATTTAATTTTAAGAGACCCCACCGATGACTTTTATTATGTTTATTAGTATATTTTACTACGACAATTTCTTTTCTTACAGTCTTGTCCTGCGAAAATCATAGCGAAAATTTCCTTACTTATTTTTCTTTTCTGTTTTAGTTCACTTTTTCTTCACACTCATGTATATGCTGCAAATCTATTTTTRTGCACAATTGATCGTAGCGCAGCTTGTGGTCAAATGCAAACAACGCCCGCCTTGCGGCTTAAATTCGAATTCGCAAGTTTGTATTTTTAATTTATTTTTGCTGTTTCTTTACATTCTCATAATTCCAAACAATTTTCTTTGTCCATTGTCGACTGTGTCACAGTTCGTCACTCGGCGCTCTCCACCATCTGCATGAACGAATCCACATAAAACTACACTAATTAGATACAATTTTCGTGAAACATCTTTCTCTTTTTACAAGCATTACGGATGCTTCCGTACAAAAATGAAACGCGTATAACTGCACGGTATTGTTAAAAATATGTTTATACAAATTTCAAATAAGTTATTAGCGTATTTGCACTTAAATTATTATTTTTATCAGACTGCCACAAAAATTTCCCTTGCTTTTTTCTACGAAGAAAATAAATATGGCGCCAGTGCACTTTTTCTTGGATGTCTAATATTAGGAAGTATATGGAAAGTAGTATTAAAAAAATACCTTATGAYTGACAGCTGTTACCATGCGAAAAATAGGAGAAGTAAAACAACAGATTAGTTTTTGACGTGATGTGTCAGTATTTATTCAGTAATTTTTGCTAACATTTGTGAAAATTGTGATCTTTAGCAGAACATTAAATCTCAATATACTATGCAAAAAGAATATATTTATTCAGACTATATAAAATGAAGCATTCTACTTCACCCACACCATCACTGGCTGGGTCCAGTTATGCGCCATCCTATGCAACGTCTCGCGGTCAATCGCCACTACCACCGCCCGCAAATCATACAAGAAATTGTCTATCAGCAACAAGCAAAAGTTACAAATACCTACGGCGATTACTTAAGTTTAACCAAATGGACTTCGAGTTTGCTGTTTGGCAAATGATATATTTGTTTATATCACCACAAAAAGTTTACAGAAATTTTAACTACAGAAAACGTGAGTATTCATTTCATGTAAGTATATTGGCAATAATCAAAATATTCATTATATCTGTTTAGAGACTAAATCACAATTCGCCAGAGATGATCCTGCTTTTTTAGTTTTACTTGTAATTTGCCTCTGTGGTAAGATCGCAATTTCSGAAAAAAATATGTTGCAATTTTTGTAATTTTACTCATATGTTTTTCATACTTTTGATACTCTTTTACAGTGACCTCCGTGGTACTCGCATGGACAATGGGATTGAACTTTTTGCAGAGTATTTCATTCATTTTATATGTTGTGTTTGTGGATTGCATCTTTGCAGGCATCATAGTAGCTTCGTTCCTTTGGATAGTGACGAATCGTTACTTGCGCAGCAGTAGTTTAGAACCTGATATCGAGTGGGGCTATGCTTTTGATGTTCATTTAAATGCATTCTTTCCACCATTAATACTGCTACACTTTGTTCAGCTGTTCTTCTATGATTGGGTTATAAGCCAGCCATGGTTTTTTTCCCGTTTACTTGGAAATACATTTTGGCTTTGCGCGCTGAGTTATTATATTTACATAACATTTTTAGGCTACAACTGTAAGTATATATGATACACTGTAAACATATTAAATCAAATAATTGAAACATTTATCTCCTTCAGGTATACCACATTTAAAAAATACGCGCCTGATTCTAATACCTTTACCGATAATATTTCTTTTCTATCTAGTGACTGTGATCATTGGCTGGAATGTGACAATTTCGTTTATTAATTTTTACAAGTATCGTGTTTACTAAAAATTTAAATGCTTTATGAATAGAATTGTTTATTTATATACTTATAAGAAAGTTTACTACATATTTATGTAGATATAGAAAGATGTGTAATATTGATATTTCTCAGAATATAAACTGAATCCGTTTTTATTTACAGAACTGTATTCTAACTTTCGTATGTGTGTTTTAAATTATTCACATAAAGTACATGTTATCATTGTTATGAAAGAAAAAAAAAAAAACAAGTAACAATAATTTTTATTAGATCTACGCCAATTTGGTGAGTTTAACAAAAGAACGTTTACGCTTGTTACGTTTTCGTTGTAATTCCAGACTGTGCAATTGGGAATGCACTTCTGCAAATATTTCTTTTTGTTCTTCCTCGGGGATCGAAGAGCGATACTGTTTCATCATATCGTATTTCTCCCATGGTTTTTCATGTGCCATTGCCTGTCGGCGTTGCTTGTCAGTTATGTACTGATCTACATTAGCTACTCCCTGTAGGTTCTGTCGCTCCCACCGCTCCAACCATGGTCGTGGACGCAATACTACTTTAATATCATTTATTGGCACTTCAGCACTATCATCTAAATTCTCCGGTTCCATATTTATATCAACAGTGCTATATTCTGGCAGTGCGTCCCGTAAATATAGCAGATGGTCATCCAAACGTTTTTCCAGACGAAGTACTTCAATTTTATGTATAGTTGGATCGTACAGCTCGTAACGTACTTCAATACCTTGATGATCAATAACATTGCGTAATATGAAACGAGCCCGAAGGCCACAACGGTCACGATGAATACAAACACCTGGAAGATTAAATATGGTATATTCCGTTAAACAGCGTTAGTCGCTACATTAACAACAGCTCACATATTTTGCACTTACCAACGAAACGACTGATTTTTCCAGCTGCATGTGGATCGGAGCTTGTTACAGCTAATATCGAACCGACATAGAATTCCGGAATATCAATTTTAGTGCGACGGTCTAGCATGTCCATGCGTTCAAGTTTCTCACGAACTGGATTACGCCATTCGACTTTGGGATCCGGTAAAAATTCCGGATAGATAAAACGATAATTTTGTGGAATAACTGATTTGCGCCCTTCAATAGACCCTGCGGAGTTTGGTTGACTTTGYTTTTGAATGAGAGGTGGTAATTCATTTGCCTGAGGTTTTGTTGAAAATGTGACTGCATAACAAGTGAGTAGCAAAAAGAAATTAAATCGTCATTAACTCGTATATTGATAAATTTTATATACCGATTCTGATAAAACTGTTTCCTTTCCTCCAACTGGTCGTAAATATACGGTTTGTTATATTCATTTTTAATAAATTCCAATTATTAAATGAATTTCAATAAGGTTTTACTCCGACCTATTGATTACGGGTGTTCAGTAACCTAACAATAAATGTCAAWACAAATCAGATGTTATATCCTGCTATTACAAAATCTCATTGTAAAAGATGCAGTTTTATTTCTGTATTGTGAATGTGGGATAAATTTTTTTTATGCTCCTGTAAAATCAATTAATAAGTTTTCTCTTATTAAATAAAAAAATTCTATATGRCATTTCAGGAACATTCGATGTTATCTTATAATAATAAAATTACAGAGAAAAAGAAAAATGTATATAAGTTTGGTAACCATTGAAAGATATGGTACTTCATTTTCATTCTTAACCGAAGTTGGCAACGCGTTTTATCCATGTGTTGGTGACTTACTCGTCGAAGCTCAARAAATTCCTTTAAATATTGCACATTAAAAATACATTTATAAAATTTAGTGACTGACACCCAACAAATATGTGTTGATTCCACAATTAGATGTTACAGAAGTTTACATTGATCAGAATTATTCTTTTACAAAAAGGCATCGACTACATGATGCCTATTTACACATATGAGTGTACATGTGTGCTACGTCTGTGTGTGCTCATTAAATCTTGATGAAAGTATATAAAGACCGTCATTTCAYAAACAGATTTCGCTTCGTGTTGTGCTTTGCGAAGCCTTTTCAGGTGCATTTTCTCCATGCCGGATGGAATAAGAATGTTAAAGCCATGTGCTAGGATAATATACTTTCATACTTGTAAACACTGTTCTATTGTGGGGTAAAGGACATGTAAAAACTTTGTTTTGTCAGCGACTACAAAAGGTAGAATACACAACTGCACACGTGTCAAAGGCCTTGCGGCGCTTACGTGAGTGTAAACGAGATAGATAGACTACTGGAAAGGTGGAAACTGTCGAAACAGGCAGTATTCGCGACAATCGTGGGAATTTCCTAGCACGACTTTCGACGAGCCATTCGAAAAGTGCTATTTTATGTGAACAGACGTTAAAAATATTACGTTCTTTGATGTTGCATTTCGTAGTAAAATTAAGTATTTACTTAGKTTACATGAATTTGTGACTATTTATAGCATCAGTTTAAAGAATATTACACGTGTCGCAAGAATAGTGATACTTCAACCACATAAGTTTTCCTTGYAATCTAGTATTTTGTGCACTCGTGACGATCAGGTCTTGCCCCTCCACCGCCGTATGTTTTGCGTTATACCCTTCGCCTTGCTACATATCTAACATTGACGCCGCTATTTTATTGAACTTATTTACATATTCAAATCATTGCTGTTGTAAAAATACCCATTTCAAAGTTTTGGACTATTCTTATTTTGTTAGTTCTGTGAGCAGACAACGGCCTCAAACTGGCGGAAAAGAAGGTCGCTTTGACATTATGCCAGACTTCTGTGGTAAGTATGATGAAAATGTGCAGTTAATATTTTCTGTCAAATCTAAAAGGTAGAGTCTTAGCATATTTCATATTAAACCATTTGTTCCCATACAATAAAAAAGGCAACCATATTATTTTTGCTACACATATGTAAATAAGTCATTTATTGGTGAGTTGTTGTTGATAATAAGGGTTAAACTTTTAAGTGAGARCAAGGAAATCTATATAGAAAATTTSAATCATTGGATGCGAATATATCAAAGCACTTTGAATGATTAGCCTTGCTATGAAAAAAGATAACACTCTAAAAATAAATCAGCTGTTTTGTGTTTACAAAGAATACTGAAAGCAAGGAAAGCTTATTTAGATATCGGAGGCCAGGTATATTTAATTACTAAGAAGTAACAAGCGGGCACACTTTGAAAAATTATGATGTTTGTATCCCTTGCCGATTGCTAGTAGTAATATAATAAAATTGAAGTAATATATGATTGCATATATTAGAATGTTAYATTTTATGTTAACTACTTTAAAGATATTAAAATTTTGCAACAATGTTTCAATATGCTGATTGCATATATAGGATGTACATTTGTCACTACTCAAACAAATGTGCATTACAAGTAAAATGAAATGCTTCTGTAATATCAGTTCAAGCGGGAACAACAAACTAAACTTACTTTTAAACCACTTTCACTTTTATGTTGTGGTTCAGTTTGGGATTACAATGTAAATGCACGTATGTAAACTTGGCTATATAATTCAGTCAATCAGTTATATCCATTGAAGTATTAATAAGTAATAATTTTGTTTTACAACATTCTGTGTGTTCTTTTTTTTTTAGCTAAAAGTTTACTATGCTGTTATCGAAGATGTAATTGCGAATGTGCGCGACGCCTTTCTGGATGAGGGTGTCGACGAACAGGTTTTACAAGAGATGAAACAAAATTGGCGGGCAAAACTAATGGCAAGCAAAGCTGTGGAAATAAATCCGGAACCTCCAGAGCCACAACCGCCACCAATTGTAGCCAATAATCCGAAGGTAGGGCGTTTGACTTTTTTATTCATTATGTAAAATTATTTGTTCAATCCAGGTAGCTTTATTATTAATTTTAATTCAGGTAATCGATTTAATTAAGAAGAAACCATGAACATTTTTTATTACCCATAATCGTATAAACAATTTGCAATCGACTATTATTATTCTTTTATGTTAAAGAGTAGGATACAAGTGATAAATTGTCCTAAATTTATATAATAAGTATTGTATTGTTTATAGTTTATATTATATAGGTAAAATTTCACATCTTTTTTTCCCTAATGTCGGTAATAGGAAAACAGGTTTCAAAAAACTCTTTTGTTATATTCCTTTTTATAAATTAAGAACTCGAGATAACTCTGATATTAGATATTATAAAAGAATATATAATTTATTAAATGATATAATAACACATCTTTCTCCCCAATTTACTCTTCGTTATTTCTACTGAAACAAAACAAATAAAATATCACATTTACACATACATATGTATGTATATTATACAACTGGAATTTGTAACAACAAACAAAATTTACTTCGCCAAATATTGACCATTTAAAATACGTTACAATTTGAATATTCCTCCATGAATTCGTCAACCTATGTTTGTATGTGTTCGGCTGTGCATTTTACGTTAACATACTTATTTCTACGAAATTAATGAAACACAATACTATTACGACAACAAAAACACATTCGCAACACTTCTTGGAAACTACCAAATATGATCCATTGATGGAACTTTTACTCACGTAGCCATCAAAGGTAATTGAGTCACTCAACTTGTTGTGTATATGAGTAATATATACAATTTATTTATAATATATATAATCCGTATCTACACCCTTTATAACATCCCTAATTTCGGCTAACTATTTGGTAAATTTTATTTTTAGTTTTGTTACATATCTACAGTTTGCTCCAAAATTTTAAATTTCCTTCTAACAGCCCCTATATCAATTGTCCCACACATATTTATAGTTGTAGGTATGTGCGTTTCGTTAGTAAACTAAAAACATAATTTTTCCAAACAATGCTTATAGGCTGCCACCGCCAAAGCTAAGAAAGCGGCAGCGGCTGCCGCTGCAGCTGCAGCKCAACAAAACAGCAGTAATAATGCAACAARTAGTGGCGCCAGCGATATAAAACCAAGCATTGCACAGCTTCAATCGAACGTGGTAAATGGTGCTGGTKCTATCGGTGGTCCGACCACATCGGCTGCAGCCAACAACTCGGCCGCAATGAATGGAGGTCTTAAACAGGAGTTGGGGGGGAAGTCAGTGTCGACGCTTAGCGGCGGATTGAGCAACAGCTTACAGAAATCGAATGTGATTGGCAGCGCGCAAACAGGTGCAGCACCTGTAGCGTCTTCATCAGGAATAGGCGGTGGTGTAGGTGGCTCACAGCCACAATCAACAAATTCAACCATACCCATTGTAGCCACACTTGATCCAAATCGCATTATGCCTGTAAACGTGAGTAATACTACTTTTATCAAAAAAAAAAAAAACATTTAGCATGTTTGAATGTTCGTATTTGCAATCCAGATAACATTACCCGCTCAAACTGGTTCCATGAACACAGAATCTCGCGTGCTCACCATACATGTTCCAGCATCGGCGCTTCAAGATAATCAGCTAACACAAATATTGACCGCGCATTTAATTTCGTCTATAATGTCGTTGCCAACAACTCTGGCCTCCTCAGTGTTGCAGCAGCACGTGAATGCGGCGCTCATTAATAGCAACATGCAGAGTAAGTATTGGTTGTGACTATTTTTAACAAAGCTCATTTCAAAAATAACTGCTCGCCTTGTAGGGCTTATATTTCTGTACATATATGTATGTAGTTATTAATAATGTGATTTTGAAAAATTTCAGAAAGTTTTAATGCTTCAAAGCAACTTGATGGCGCTGTAGACACTTCAGACGAAGACGAAAGTGAAGAAAGCGATGATAACATGGACAATGATGATGACGATGATTTAGATAAAGACGATGACGAAGACGCGGAAAACGACGGTGGTGCCGAAGAAGAACCGCTGAACAGTGATGATGATGTGACGGACGAGGATGCCAGCGATGTATTCGAAACGGATAACGTTATTGTTTGTCAGTATGACAAGGTACACTTTTGATCTTATTAGCATATATAGTGCCAATCGTGGATACTCTGTGTATTTTTTTTATTTGCTTTTAYAGATCACACGTTCACGTAACAAATGGAAGTTTTACCTCAAGGATGGTATTATGAATATAGGTGGGAAAGATTATGTATTCCAAAAGTCCAATGGAGACGCGGAGTGGTAAAAACCAATACCACAAGACAGTAAAGTTATTTACTACTTTTATGCTACCACACATTTGCTTTCTGTAATTATTAAGCAATTGTTCATGCCAAAAGACAAAATTTTTTAATACACTGTTGTTATTAATTCTGAATCAGCAAGGCGTACATAAGCATTCATATTATTTGCGCTCATATATTGTATTAAGTTCGGCATTTTTTCCATCCACACAAAACAAATAAGGTTTTATATGCACCGTTGATTTGAACAGAAAATGCAGTTAAAAGCTCGAAAACATAATTGCATCAAATAGAAATAATTAAGCACGTGTATATATGTATATGTATACCATTTTTGTGCTAATGTAGAATACCTGATACACGGCAGTTGTGAGTACATTGATAACAACAGCAAAACAAACAAATATTTACATAAAATTCGTTATAGATTAGAAAAGCAACAGCAAAAATCGTGTTGATGAGAAAACACATTTACTTTTACATATAAAACCATAATAGCTTTGTATTATTATAAAATTTAACAAAGCTGAAAATAGTTATTGTATTATTCTAATTTACATTATTATTACAAAATAAAAATGTCAAATTCAGGCTCTAACAATTATTGTTTCTTTTGGACATAATTTTGAACGGTACCGCTCAATTTTTTTCCTAGCACGTTCGTGCGTACGTCCGATCTTAAACCCTCCCCCTCTCTACTCCACTGAGTATGTATATCAACGGCTCTTAAAGAGTAAAACTATTTTTAGGAATTTTCCTCTCTTCGGGAACACTTTGTAGGAAAAAACGCGAATTTTTGCGAAAAAATCATGTATTTTATGATTGCAAAACGATCGGTGCAGTAATTTTGAAGTTAATTATACATCAATTCTCTCCCTTAAACCAATAGATGTTACCATTCGTCAAAACTATAATTTGTTAACAATAATTATGATTGGTAATTAATTTTTATTTTAATTGTATCCTTTAAAATTTACAGATTAATAACTTATGGATCTAATTAAAAAAAACCGAAAACACCTGCATTCTTGAATTTACTCTTCGAATGCAAACGCTATTTACTTGCCTTATCTTGTTTAAAATACTTATCARCAACAAAATGAAATTATTACAATTGTGAAAATACTGCATTCATATTGTTGTTGATTTAAAATATTCCATTACAGATATATGTTCGCTTAACTTTTTTTTATTGCATTCAGTTATTTATTAGTCACAAAGCACATATAATATGTATGTATATTACAAACTGTACTTAATAGTGACAACAACGTTATTTCGTTGTGTGCTTGTTATTTTCTATACATTGTTTTTCATTATAGACGGTTATTATTAACTATATAAAAATATATGAATGTGCTTTTTAAATTTTCAAGTTTTCTATTTCGTGTCCATTCGGTGTCTGTTCGTTTTTTTCATGATAACAAAAATTTTGTTATATAATATTTGCAAATGTGTTTTGAATAGACAAACTGTGTTTAAAATAGCGCCAAATGAAAAAAAAAAAATCAATTATGGCTTTATTATAGTGATTGCAAGAGCTACAATTATCGAATACACAAAATGGCAGACACTGTACTCAAATTTGCAAAAAATCATAAGTGCTGAATAAATCAATGGTTCACTTTGAATTACAATGTCTATACTGTGGTTCATTGATAAACAGCAAAACTTTATATACTACTGATAACCAAATCTCGTTTTTAATATTCCTTAAATTCTACTCTTTTAATTCACTGTATTTGAATTTTTTGTTAGGATGTATAAAGTTGAGATAAGTTTCTTTCAAAATGCAGATAATATAAATTTGCTGTATTTCGCATTTTATTTTTCGAAAAAGCTTTAGCAACCAAATATTCGCCATGCATATACACGTCAAATATAAATGAAAAATACGTTAACAAATTATATACCGAGCAATTATATACATATACATTTATACATGTGGCATTTCAATTTCGTCTGTGACTTTATTTACTTGATCATAATAATAATAACAAAGTTCAATTTTAAAAATAAGCCTAAAACCTAATAATAAAATCCAGAATCTTATTTTATCAACGTATTAATGATAAACCTATTCATTTGAATGTGGTAAATCATATAAATCAAATGTGAATTGAAATTATTTACTTTAATTGGTTAGCTTTTTAGCACAAAGTTTGTAAAATTCTTAAAAAATACAAAACTCACACTAAATCCCCATACAAAAAATTGCAGAAATTAAAATAGTTATTTTTTTAATTATGAAATTAGAGCGTTGCTACTTATTTTAGGAATAGGGATAAAACAACTCCATATTATATATTTATATAACTGTTCTTATGGGGGAGTAGTGTGGGCTTTAAATTTTTTTATGTCTTAACTATTTACTCAAATTTATTGATAACACTGTATGTTTACGAATATCTTGAGTTTGACGCATTATTGGTGTACTCTTTCGAAATTTCTCTATATTTTGAGATTTAAGTAGTCACACTTTTTTTTAATTTGTGTCTACTAAATATATTGAAAAATAAAGAAGTGCTGTTACAAAAATTAATTTCTATAACTTATGTTACATGATGCCAAATTTATTAAATGTTGAACTTGTAATTACAAATTCTCAAAACGAATTTTTGGTGCCTTTTCTCACCTTTGATTTGGGCAGATGGCTAAACTAAATCTAAACAACACATTTCCATACAAATAAAAAAATATTTCGTATTCGTACAAACACTAAGTAATTATGTGTGTCTTTAATATTTTTTTTTATCGATTTCATATATGTATGTATAATATTCAGAAAATTATTATCTCACTATTTTAACTTTGATATTAGTACATTGTACATATGTATGTATAATAAATTAAAAATATTTTATCAGTTATAGTAAATATGTACCCAATATCGTTTCCTTATTTAATTGCCCGAAACTGACTGAATGCATACAGGATAGTAAAACGCTGTACCACATGTCTGTCTTAGTAAATAAGAACTTTAGTCAAGCTGCGCCTGCTGTTTTTATCCTAAAGGCGGAAACAAACAACGCAATGCATTAATGGCTGTCTGCAACGCTGAATGCTGTTGTTGGTTTGTATGGCTGCGGTTGTGACTATTAGAGATTGGTGTGCTGGTGTTATTTGTGCAGTTGCTGCTTGGCAAAACTACATCGTATTAACTCGTCAGCAGTGCAATATTGATCTCCTTAACCATCTTGACACGATGCAGCATCTTCTGTAATGACTCCTGACTAAGCGCTTGAGTGGAATACCAAACCGGTGAGTCGGGTACACAAGAGCGTTCAGGTTGTAAATAAAATACATCATTGCGTGTTTTTACGCTTTCCGGACTACAAAAATCGTCGTAAATTATTAGAACATTTGTTTTAGTTTATGAATTTGATTAGTGACTTACCATTTCGAGAGGTAAAACTCATAGAGACGGACTGGGCAGCGCAAAGGGTTTTCTTCGTTCTCTTGCTGTTCATAAACCTTTTTCTTACGAGGGTTGGCATCTGCAAAAATAAGTGCAATAATTTAATTAATTTTTATATGTTTTTTTTATTTTAAAAGAAACTTACCAAGACCAGCTTGTGGCGGATAGAAACGTAGAAGTACATTTCTAGTACCTGGCATTTTAGCATTTTGTGCTGAGCGTTTCCAATGTTTCATTATGTGAGAGAAYGATAGTTGCATGTGCTCTTCTACAGTCTATGAGTTAAAAAATTGTAAGATTTAAAATTACATTTAAACCCCACTGACAACATTAGATTTGCTTGATGTTACAAACCGTTAAATTGAAGTGTTTCGTATTAAAAAACATAAGTGTACTGAGCAGGACATGTGGTGAATGAGCGCCAAGCTGTTTACACTCCCATAAATGTTCCTCTTCAACTCGGGTCACAATGTACTCTGTAATCAAAAGTTATTTTTAATTAAGAACTAGATTTGTAAATGAATTTTTTTATTGTTATAATAAAAAAAATCTACTTACGTGAATCATTGTAGAGGACTGAAAATTTACGGGCCACTTCATCCAAACAGTCGGTGAAACGTTCATAGTATGGATCCGTGAAAATGTTATCAATTCTGCCATTTTCATACAGATATTGCTGGATGCCTAAGAAAGCATTTGAGTACAATGTTTGCAATTAAAAATTCTTTAAAGGTTGCGCAATATTTTAGTTTATAAAAAATAGTTTAATATATATTTTTAATGTCATAATTCATTTAATAATTCTTCTAAATTTTTTAAATTATTTATTAAAAAAATTTTGTGTACCTTACGATAGACTTATAATTATTTAAATGTATAAGATAGAATTTAACTTACCTAAAACCAAATAGTATATAGTATCTGGAGCATATTCAGTGCCGTTTGGCTTACGCACCTCTTTTACAAACAAACACAGAGAATAGTTTAATTCGTCTGCGGTCATTTGCAAAAGTTCCGTTTTGAATGGTCGACGCCTAGTCGTACTTTTTTCTATGTCGGCATTCTTTGTCATTACCCATTGCTTCCACGCGTTCACACCAAAAGTATACTTCAAACACATGTTGGCGTCGGGTTTTTCTACAGGTTGAATGGGCTGCGGTGGTGGTTGAGATGGTTCTATATCCAGTCTTGCACGTTTCACAGGTGAACGGTTATTACTTCGAGGTGATACTGGCGACGTTAAACCACCGCGTTTACGACCACGTCCGCTAATATAACAAAACTTTATTTTAATATTGCATAATTATATCATTTAAATTAACAAACCGTTGTGTTTCCATTATATGGTGAGATTGCTGTTGCATATGGTGAGCACTCATGTGGCTCATAGAATCATCGTGTCCCACCATACCTGGTGGTGGATTCGTTATCTCACTAGCAGTCATGGCCGATTCAAGATCAACAGCAGGCTGACCGTACTCACCAGTTGCCATTTTTAATGCCATCTGTAGTACTTCTTCGCCATATGAATTGTTGGTCACTTCAACAGGTTGTACATCATTATTGTATTGTAACGGAACCAAGCTCGGTTCAGTTTTTACTTCATCTTCTGAATCCGAATCAGACTCGTGTTTTTCTTCGGCTACCATCTCAGCCATCATAAGCAATTCAGCTTCAAATGGATCGGCAGGCATTTTGTCTTGGATTTTTTTGATTTCCTTAAGAATGCCCTGAGCCGAATTTCGTGTAGTTGGTATAAATATTGGTACGGGTATTGGCAATGGTATTGGTACTGGTACGGGGAACGGTGCCGAATACATGTACATAGGTTGTGGCACATAAATCGGTACAGGTATTGGTATTAGCACCTTGTTGGAGTAGTCCTTACCAGTTTGTGTAGCTGTATTCGTAGTGTTCGGCGTAGTTTGAAATCCGACTGTYACTGTTTGTGGTTTACAACTGGTCTGTACATTTCGAACAGCAGGTGGATATGGTGGCACAGCAATAATTCTCGTTTCCCCAACACCTTTTTCCATATGGCCAGATACCGAATTATTCTGTCCTCGCTTTCCTATTGATTTAGCATTTGACGTAGGCAGATCTATTGGTGGTGGAGATGGAGACGCAGTATAATCTATTTGTTTTCTCGGTCGCCCTCTAGATGGTACAATCATAGGAGGTGTGGTTATTTGTGGCACAGGTGGTGGCGAATCTAACTTTCGCCCTCTACCTCGGCCTCGCCGTACAGTTACGTTACCAATCATTGTTTCGGTCTCACCACTTGCCAGAGAAGATACCGTTGATATAACTGGCATTGTAGGCCCCTTTTTACCTACAGGTGTTGTTTTTGCAGGAAGTTTGATCTGCAACAAATTATACGGAGTTAATTTAATATCTAAAACTGTTACTCTCTCAACTGAAAAATAAATCGAGGTTAGGTTTTTTCAAACAGCAAATATAACGATACTTGCACAAACTCTTTGCTAGAGAGGGATGACAATATTTTTATATTCAATCTACTACGTTAGATAAATCGTAAATAAATGTTGCCAAACAAGGCGCAATATAATTAAATAATCTATCACATAATTCAATTAATTAAATATTTCAAATTACAAAAAAAAAATATATATATATAGTATATATACAAATAATTTTATTCCGAGACGTTTTGATCTAAAAATATTATAATATATAAGCTGTTAATGAAATTATTTTTACCTGTATTTGGGGTTTGGTTTGTTGCGGCATCTTTAGTTTTACCCTCTTAGGCAATCCAGTGGGAAAAGGTACATTGTTTTTGTTAGATCCGCTTTGTGTCACAGTAGTGGTCTGTTGGGTCGATGGTGAATCATTTTCCAAAGTAAGCGGTGCTCTTGCAAATTGACTCTGAAACTGCATAACACATTGATATGTGCAAAAATTACGCATCGAAGCATCCGACATTGTGAGGTGATATTGTGGTGTAGCGGAAGTGTTGCAATTGTCACAATTGGCAACAGTACGTGAAAAAGCGTTAATAGACACACCGTATAAAGTTAAACAATTTAGAGAACACATTAGAATTTCCTGTGCATCTTGTTGTTTGTAGATCATATCGAAATTATATTTCTTTACTTTGCACCATTGACATGAGACAATACGCCGATTAACAATTATATACACATTAAGACAAACACGTGTACAAAACACTTTAGTTCGTCTTTCTGTATAAATTGTATATGACTCTGAGCCTTTGCGTTCAAAATACTTGGAACACATAGCACATTGATCGGCGACTATATTGCTTACGAATTTGAAAGCTGAAAAGCATGGATTTGAACAGAAATTATGTTCTTTACCATCCAGCATAATTTCGACGCGCACTGGTTTATCATTATTACACACAGCACAAGTATCGTTACGTAGTTTTTTTTTGGGATTGCACATACTATCATAACGACGCATACAGGCTTGTGAACAAAAATCTTTAAATTGTTCCTTGTCACCCACAGGTGCAAGAAAGCCYTCACTGCCGGATGAAATATCCTTTTGACAACACGAACATGTTTTTAATCCTTTTTTAAATTCATTAAGACAAGCTGCACAGCAGAATTGACGAATGTCAAAACCAAATCGTACACAATATTTGCCGAGGGCAGGATGTGGTACTTCTCCATGACATGTTTGACAATTAGCACCGATTGTGCGTTGGTACTTGCCGAGGCAAATTTCATTGCAGAAATCCATTGTTTCCCAGAGTAAATTTTTGTCACCTAACGTTACTTCATTGAAACATTCAGCACAACGACGCATAAAACTGGCATTTCGTTCTAATCGTGCTGCCTCCGCTTCAGCAGAGGTCCGAGCTACTACGCCCGTATCTCGTGGACCTTTTGTCTTTGTCACAGCAGTCGTACTGGAACTGGTCGAAACTCCCGTTGAAGACGTTGTCGTTGCTGGTAATGTAGAACCAATGTTGCGCACTCGGATTGAATGTCGTTTTAATTTAAATTTTTCTGGCTCCTCAGAATTTAAAAGATTGTAACAAACATCGTTACAAATGTAGTGGTGCTCGTCATCCTGACGGAAGAAGTATTTACATAGCTTTGCTTCCTTGCATTGTAAACATGTGTGACAGTTTGCATCTTTCTCTCTCACATCAGATTTGTCTGCAACCTCGGGTTCACTCTCATCAATTTCATTATCTATTGTATCGACGTCTTTTGCTTCATTAGTTAACTCTTCGATAAGAAACTTTTTCCTTCGAATGAAATACTTTCCAGGATGAGCAGATAAAATTGCATCGCAACATTTTTGTTCACACAAATAGTCAAAATTACCGCTTTCGGGATTCTTAAATCGAAAGCCACACATTTTTTCGTTATCACACTGTATACATTTTTGTGTTGATGATATAATCCAAGCAATAATAATTTTTTGTGAAGACCCCATTTCCGTCGTATTTGTTTGCATTTCCTCTAATAAAGGTTCATCTGCATCAGGCGCTTCTGCTATTTCTTCCGCTGCGTTTAGCTGCACTCCTATATAAATATAAATTATACATTGCTTTTGCAATTAATTAATTCAATTTACAATTAAAAAAMTAAAATTTATATATATTTATTATTTAACTTACGTTAACAGAATGTTAAGCCTTATTATAGGTAATTATAAGAATTTACATGCATCAATTATCATAAGACAAATATCTTAGTAATTATTATTTTAGGCGCTCACCTTCGCTGCTGCCACTACCAGCATCAGCGGCTTCAGCTTCAGCTCCAGCTGATTCAGCTTGAGCCTTGGCTTCGACTATCCAAAAAAAAAGAATATTTTAAATTTACACTATTGAATTACATCTACCTAGTGAATAGCTTAAAGTGAAACATAAGTACATATGCTAAAATGGATATTCGTTTGTATAATATTACTCAATAATAATATTTGAAAACTTAATAAATTTGGATTAAATCAAAGAAATTAATAAACCCTTTATACTATAAACCAAAATTTGAATTCTAAACATAGGATGTATAATCAATGGTTCGAAAAATTTCAATAATTTTTTAAATCGGCCCTCACCTCTAGCGTCACTCAATTCGGAGTCATCTTCAATGTCAGCTGAGGTATTTTTTTCTGAAACTGAATTTTCTTCAGCAACAGCAGCATCAACAGTAACTTCTTCTGTATCTCTTTGTTTTTGAGCCTCTGCATCCTCTTTTTCGGCATTTTCCCGAGCTAAAATAGCCTGTTCCTTTTCTGCTTGTGTTACTTCCGACTCAGTGTCATCTGGTATAAGACAAATATCGGAATCTTCTGGTTCTTGGACATTTTCAACTGGTTCTAAAATCAAATCGAACTCTCAGTAATTATTCATTTGAAATCATAAATTCGTATACATACCATCTTCCCGTTCAGTTTCAGGTTCTGGTTCTTCACTTGTAACTATTTCCGTGATTTTATTTGTGTCATCGGTATTCTCTTCGATTGCATCGAGTTGCTTGTTATCATCACCAACTTCATCAGTAATATCGTCCTCTTCATTCTTACTGTTTTCTTCTTCTTGGGCTGCTACATCAATATCTGTTCCTTTTTCGTTTACATCACTCTCAGGTTTACTATTGTCATTGCAAGGYTCATCGTCTTCCAAGACTTCAATGGCTTCCATGCTAACATCTTGCTGTTCAACAGTAATATTATGACTTTCTTCATCAATTGATTTCTGAGTACTCTTTTTTTCATTTTCATCTTCAACAGCAGCACTTGTTATCATATTTTCTTCAGGTGAGTTAGTGATTGATGGCATATCCATATCTCCATCTGTCGTTTGCAAATCGACCGCTGGTTCACCCATAACTCCATTATCAGCTTGATTATCCGCATCCTTCGTTTCAACCGTCTTGTCAACTGGTTCCACAGAAACATCTAACTCTTCTGTTGCTGTTGGTAAAGTCATGTCCGACTCGCCCAACATATCGGATTCATCGGTGGCTGCATTATGACCTCCACCAGATACGTTCGCATCCACTTCTTCGAAATCTGTGGACTCCTTTGTTTTATTGTCTACTGTCTCAGGTTCTTTATTTTCATTTTCATTAATAATTTCACCTTCAACACCACCACCCTCATCACCATCGTATGCGCCACCAGCCAACTTCTCCTGTGTGCTACTCCCTTCATCTTTGGGTGCACCTGAAGAGGTTCCATTTGAGTTTTCATCGACGTCAAATGATCCTTCSGAAATTTGTTCGAAATCCTCGTCGATATTTCCTTCTTCAGTATCTTTCGTGACGTCACCTTCCACGACTTTGTCGATTGAGGCTTGTGATGTGTCTTCATCTAATTTCGGTGGTTCGGACTCGGGTCGAGCACTAGACTCAGCATCAGTGTGAAACGAGTCTAAACTTGAGATTTCCTCCATTGGAACACGGTTGATTGATATTTAAATTGTAAGCAAGCCTTAAACATTAACTAAAAAAACAAAGGTTTAGGTATAAATAGAAAASAGTAATATATATTATAATGATTATAAATGTAATATGAAATGAAGAAAATTTTCGACTTATGGCAAACAATGTCTTTCGATTAAAAAAWATATTAAATTATTCACGTAATTGTTGTATAGTAAATGTTTTCCCGCCGTTACAATACAACACATCACATAGGTACATAAATATATGATGTTTGGATGAATTTGGTACAATCAATATTGAGTTTAAGCTATTCAAACAGAAAATTTGTTTACATTACAAAAAGCGATTTATTTTAACCAATAGTCACAGTAATTTTCATAAACTAACACAATTCGTAGACGGACCCAATGGTGCCGAGGTGTATGCAGTGTGGCTACCCTGAAAGTACAGCACGCACAGTGGGAGCAAATACTTGTATAAATACCACATTAACTGCCAAACCGTCCCCCTCACAGGTGAAATAGACCTTTATTACCGGCGACATTTTTATTATACACATATGCACAAACCTTTCAATTAGCGAAAACTTAAATTAAATATATTCCACGTAATAAATAGCTAATACTTTTGCTTCGAACGAATTTTACTGATTGCACGATATAATACGACTTTCAACAGGAACAGCCCAAGATACGGAATGAGGCGGAAAAGTAATGACATAGGAACGAAACGATTTGTCGATCTCGAGAACTAAACTCACTTTTGTTGTCAATTTTAGATTTCCACAAAGTTTTTAACACTTTTATAATAAACGTGACTTAATAATTTTTGTGACAATAATCTCTCTTAAAACTGAACTTATTGTTTACGATTGTTTTGCAGACTTCGCGCTAAAAACCTTTACACAAAATTGTTATAAATAAGCGCAAAATTGTAGTTTACCTCCTATCGGCTTTGYAAGAAACATAACTATCAATTTCCAACAGTGTGGCTGTATTCTGCTGTGGAAAATGGCGCAAGTAAAGTTGTCAACGCTGGAAGCGTTCGGAAAGTTATTAGGCAAAAACATTTACATTATTTTTTTATTTTAAATATTCATATAAATTGCATAATAAACTGAATATTTACAGTAAAAATATAACTTAACTATATCGAGCATCACCAAGTAAAATACCATAAATCTCTTAACATATATGGTTAACTGCCATCGTTTMAAATTTTTGTAATAGATCAAAGAAGTAAAAGAACAAAAAGAATGGCGTAAAGTATAGAAATGCAATGACAAAAGTTTATATAAAATTAAAAATAATAATCTAGCACTTCTACCTAGAGGAAACATGTCACTATTTGATTTATTTATTGCTGTAATGCGGATTTTTATATATTCATGATGCGATAATTTGCAAAGTACAAGACAAAATGGCTGATTAGGACATAATTGCGTTTCGATTTCACCGTTCCAATTTATTATACATACACATTTTTGCTCTTCATGTGGTTACGAAATCACTGGACCTATTCAATATATATATATATATATATATACATATTTGTAACGAATTTCTTATAAAACGAAGACAAGTAAACTTAAGCGAAGTACCTATTTTTATCACATCACCTTTTACAAATACGTACGAATATCCACCATATTATTTTATTTTTTGATTGCATKCAATTATACAACCCTGAAAATCAGTAAAAGATTCACATCTATTACACTAAAAAGATAAAAGTACTATGATACAAATTCGAATTTCTACAGGTTTATAAGTCAAGTAAAATATATTATATGTAGCAAAAGCAATTATTTTAACTGAGTATTTTAATTTTCTATCTGATAGTAATTGCGCTGACCACCGCAAAATATTTAACACAGTATTTTTATCTATAGTTTTCTGAAAGACTCTAGATTATTAGTTTAAAAAGTATATATTTAAATTTGTAGACTTTATGAAGTATTTCAAACTCGTATGTAGGTATAAAATTGGCTACTTTAGAAAATGTCTAATATGTAATAGAGGCAATGTATTGTTTCCCTCTAGAGAAGAAGAAGCAATTTATTTTTATTTTAGGGAAATTTCCCACAGTTTGTTTTGTTATATATTAACTCTTCAAGATCTAAGATTGTCATTAAAAAAAAGTAACAATGAATAGATATTTTTAACGTAAATATGTTCTGTAAACGGCAAGTAAATTTTACTTATTATAAGAGATCTATATTAATAATAATAAACACCTTAACTGCAGATTGCCTAATAGTAAGGAGAGGCGTATGCGACTTCTTCAAGATGATCAGCACCTTTCTGACTGTGAATTTCTTGTTGGGGATTCACCAGATAAGGAACCACAACGCTTTCGTTGCCATAAAATGATTTTAGCTTCTGCCTCTGAAGTTTTCGAACGAATGTTTTACAGTGAGTTTAATGTTGATGGGCCAGTACGTGTAATAGAAGTAGATGCCAAAAGTTTTGAACGTTTCTTACGCTATGTTTATATATATGAAATAGAAACAGAAGAAAATCTGTCGCTGAAAGAGTTATGTGAATTATTGTATTTAGCAGACAAGTAYATGATGCAAGATTTAACCGATGAATTAGTAAAACATTTGAAACAGAAACACAATTGGACAATAAGTGATGTGTGGCCAATATTTGATTTGGCATGCCTTTATGAAAACTTACCATTATTATTATTATGTTATGAGGTATTTGCTGTCATGAGCAGACATTTGGTTTTTATACTTAATTACATGTGCGAATCTTTTTTTTTAGAAAATAACAAAATCCGTCGTGACGCTGTTATCTGTCGACTCCTTCTATGAACTGAATGCGAACCATCTGAAACGAGTGGTGATATTAGTTTCGCAACAGCCACATATATCAACAAAATTAATGCTTCAAAGGCTAGAGGAATATGGGCGTCGAAATAAGTTACATGAAAATCGAGAATCTGAACAGTTTTTTAAATTGGTCGAAGCCGCATGCCTGTTGGATTTCAACAAACTATCAAAAGCAGATTATGAGTCGGGACTTAGACAATCATATTTGTTTAACAAAAAGTAACCAAATAATTAGATGCTAATTTAAAAAACCAATTAGCAGTTACGTCCGTTTTACATAATATCATTAGGTGTACATGTGTATTGTTCTTGATTATGAGTTTTAAAGATTATAGATAATGTAGAAATGCTGCCGGGTTTGCCGGAAAAAAAATTCGATTCCGTTCTCGTTACGTATTCGTGGTAAAGATGATACACATTATCTTTGGCTGTATGAGTTAAAATTTGTAATGTGGATAAGATTTATTATATTTATTATCATGATCATTTATTTTACAGTTTTTCAATAAAAAAATCTACACAGTGTAAATTCGTTATTTACAGATCAATAGTGTGGATGCTGTAAGCCYCGCATTTCGGGGGCTTTCCCATATAATAAGAGTTGTAAATTCAATTTTACATGGTTCGATTTGATACTGGCTAAATTTGCAAACTTAATAATGAAAAAGTTTTGCCTGGAAGAGTTGTAAGAGCAACAAATTGAATGTTTCTATATACATTAATATGGCAAAAATATTATAATAACTTATTTGCTAATAAAAACAATTTTAGGCAAATCTAAAATATACAAACTCATCACCGTTCTCTAATATATTCAGTTGCAATATGGATTAAAGAATCAATGTATTGTAATTCAACAACAATAGCATATATACATATTTATGTCTTTGTCATATAAATAAGAAATTAACTTGTTAATGTACATATTATACGTATATCCATGGAAAACAATATTGGCTGAGGGAGCACACTGCCATGAGTATGTTGTTAATTGCTACTTCGGGTGGTGTCTAACTTTACATTGAACTTGATAACAGCCAGTGTGCGTAGTTGAAGAATGCATGAGAACAACTTTACGGCGGGTCCTAATTTCAAATCGAGAATTTCGGTAAGATCGGATTGTTGAAGCAACAAAAGCGCACTACCATCGATATCTTCACGCAGAAACATTGCAGTTATTTCGGCATTCCGTAGTACACATTGAACGAATGCACATGTATCCTTTGTTGACCAAAGCAGGGGGTTGCGTTTAATACGTTGCATATCGAAAGCGACATTACGTTGCCAAATATTATAGTTTTGTTGCAGACGCGGACCATAGTCACAGAGAAACTCTTTGGCAATCTTTATTTGTGGAATTAGAAGAGATGTTGATTGTTCCGCAGTTGTACTGTCTACCGGTTGGTAAACTCTTACAGCAGTTGCAATGGACTTGTCCGAATGTTCAGCTTTTATTAAGGATTTTTGTTCTCTTGCGGAACCGATTTCAATTCTGTTCGCACTTACCTGTGGAATTTGTTTTTGCTGTTTTTCCTGCTGAATTACGTGGCGTGTTTTTATATTATCCAAAAGTTTAATATGTTGCAATATATCCGCTTCGTTCAAATGTGTTGGTTGAGATGGCTGTGATTGCTTCCATTTTAATGTTGGCTGTTTTTGCTTCATATCTCGCTTACCCATCATTTCTGAGCGTACAATTTCTTCATGTTCCAGACGTGGCGGCTTTTCAGTTTTCTGTCGCCAGTTTTCTGGCGTATATGGGCAACAATCTTGTGTCGTATGCGTATTTATATAAAGCCGTTTGGCATTACCGATGCCGCGGCAACCAAAAGTTGAGCATACCATCTTCGTTGAGCGCATTCTATAGCCAGGTGGAGGTTCTAGATCATGACTAGTTGCATCACACCAACCAATCGGATGCAAATCCGCACTATCATCTTCCAACCAAAAGCAATAATTACTTGGCCAGCAATCCAGATGTAATTTAACGCGATGTCCTTTGCGACCGATAACTGTAGCCGGACGTATTAGTGAGGGATTACGTGGATCAACAACTTCCAGTTTCATATTCGGCTTGAAATCTATTGGATCGCGGGTGGAAAACATCTCTTCTGTTGCGGCCATGCCACTGCCATGATTTTTTATATAGTCAGCCCACGAGAATGTAGTATTTTCAAATTCGGGTGGTACGATTAATTGTTGTCTTCCTACATGCCAGCCGCAAGGATGTATGTAGGGTGAACTAATATCCACCCAGTAGTCGTAGCAATCATCCCAACCATCAAAATGCACACGTATGCGATTATCTAACACATCCGAAACGGAGGCAACACATAGCTTACCGGTGTCGTTGAGGTCCTCGGCTTCCAAATGCATTCCAATCTATGACAGATTTTAGTAAACAATTATAAATATGTTTTAATAATATTAAAAATATTGAATATTCAAATAAAATACCTTAAATATGCTTACCTTAAATGGATTATGAGTACCCAAGGATACATTTAAATGTGTAAATAGAGCACGTTGCGCTGCTATAGCTTTACATTCTGCTAAGTATTGCAACCAGTTAAATTGATCAATAGTTTTACCCTTTGGTGGCTGCAAAATACGTTTAGTTTTYGTACACCATCCTGGTGGAAAAATGTCCATGGAATCGGCATTCACCCAGAAGTCGTACATGTATTCATATCCATCAAATGTTAACTTCAAGCGATATCCTTGTATATCAACAATCGTGCATACACAAAATAGTGAACAGTTCTCTGGATCAATAGCTTCCAATTTCATGCCAATCTGAAAACGATTGGGTCCAGTTGGAAATGGATTAATAAATAGATTTACAGGTGCTGCGATGGCATTGAATTTTTCTGGGAGATATGTTGACCAACGGAAGGATTTTTTGCTGGGAGCTGGAACGTTTAATTCTTGGGTTTTTCGCTTGCGTGAAAAGGTTGTATATTCCTCATGCCGGCGTTTACGGGACTCTCGTTTCAAACAATCTAAAGAACAAAATTCTAAAACAAATACAAATTATGTTAGCTATTCATATTACTCTTATGATCAAACTCATTTGTGTATAAATTACCTGGAGCCAAAAAATCCAGTGCTGGTCCATGACAATTACACCGCCTACATAAATACAATAAACTATTGTGATTTTCACTTAAATATGGAACCGATTCTCGCTCATAAATAGGCTTTTCGTAAGCTGTGTGGATACGTGTTCGTGGCGAGCAACGTTCATTTATTTCAATAAAATTAAATTCGTTCAATTGGAAGCGCATATTAGTGCCACGTGCACTACCGACACGTTGATTCCAGGTTAGCATATTGAAGTTGGATAACATTTTTAAAGCACACGATAATGCGTCTTCTACAGCGGTTGTAATGGCTTTTGCAGGAGGTGGTGCTGTTAACATATTGCCAGCAGCTGCCGAAGTACTGGGTTGGTTTAGATTGGCTGACATGTTTTTGGTAACGTTCGAAGAGGACGGCATTTGTAAATCATCATGCAAACTTTGGTGACTGGAAGAGGTAGATGCAGATGATGTTGAACTAACGGATATTTTTTCATCACAATAAAGTGATTTTTCTAACGCATCTTGGGTGCGTTCTACAGAGGTCTGGGTATCTTCAGCTTTTGAGTCCTGAACTAAAATCTCGGTCTTCTCAAAATTATCAGTATGTTGTTCTCGTGGGTCAGTTTCAACATTCTTAATTATAATTTCAAATTCTTTTGAAGTGTCCTCAATATGGTCGTTTTCCATACATGTATATTTTTCCGAAAATTTTTCAGAAGATGAGAATTTTGGTGGTTCTTCTATTTTGGGAATATTTGTAATATCCTTTTTTGTAGTATTATATAAAGAATTTTTATCCGTATCTTTAAGTGGTGGTGGTGGTTTCATGTTGTTTTCAAACTCTTGTTGATTTTCTATTATATCTTCAACAATTGGTGATCCTTTTATATTATTTTCTTTTTCTTGATTTGTTTTTTGCTCTTCCTCAGCGTTTATTTCGTGATTCACCTCATTATAATCAATTAAATCTATGATCTCATATTCGTTTTCAAAAACATTGCATTTGGAATTCAATGTTTGTTTACGTCGCGGAGGACTAGCTTTATGTTTTATACTTTTTCCTTCAGATGTGGTCGAGTGACGACGCTCCGACAATGTATGTTCAGATGTTAGCAAGGAAGTTTGTCTCTGTTTCACCATAAGTGAAGCGCTCGTTAGGGGGACCTCCTTGAAAGCACAGCTCAGTGATTTAGACCGTTTTGAACGAGGGCTGGTGCTACTTGTATAAACTCGTTGAACAGGGCGTACTTTAAGAAGTGATTCCTGTTTTTCAACAAGTTTTGCTTGTACCAATACAGGTTTAGACAGATCGATCTCTACCTTAAACGAACTGCTATTATTTGTCGTTACATTTGTAACTGGAGCTGTTTTCGTGGCGGTTCCTTTTGTTTGAATTGATGGCTCTAGTGATGAAGTAGATGATTGTTGAGGTATATTTTGTAATCGGTTAAATGAAAAATCTGTAGTACACTCATCAGTTCTTAACTCCTTGCATATGTTACTTTGGCTTATTATACTTGAATCACCTGCTGCGAGTTTGGCAGCTTCYGAGAGGGGAAGTTTAGCATTAATAAGAGGTTGTAAAACACTTGTATTTTGTAATGCATTGATTTGTTGAGACGATTTCTTCAGAGTTGTAGTTATACCGATTGAGCTTGAGATATTTGATGGAGCAGAAGATACCGGTGCTTTCATCAGCGTTGTTGTAGATTTGTTGGAGGTATTTTGGTGCTTGACACTTCCAAGATTTGTCATTGCTGATGACGACTTCAGAAGAGTTTGAGATGAATTAAGAGTATTGTTTGCATTTGTTGAGGTTGATTGTGGTAGGACACTACTTTTTTGTGGGTTACCAACTACGATTTGTTTSACAAGTTCCTGATTCAATATTGTTAAAGAAGTCGGCTGATTCCCATTCCCAACTCCACAGCGAGCTGATGTGCCAATCGTGCTTTTGGCGCTCTCAGCTGAAGAATATTGYTGTCGATTACGGACTAGTATAGAAGCTGGGATTACTGTAATGAACAAAATTTTTAAAAATAGATTATATACTTAAAATATTGCAGTCCTATATCTCCATAGTTTAATTAAACAACATAGTGATATATTTTTCCCCCAAGTACCATGTAGTATTTAGACAAATTTGATAAATTATTCTAAATAGAGAATTGGCAGAACACCAGATTTTGATAATATCGGGTGTAGTAAATGTCAAAACACATTATTAATTTTTTTAAGATGATAGCATTCCATTTACTTTTAGATATTGTTTTTTACATTACTGTAATTAAAGATGCAACTTTCAATTTTTAAGCAACAAAAATGTACTTATGCATCTAAATAAAAACGAACAGTATGATGATGTTTCCTTAAACTTCTACTATAAATACTATGCACATAGTTTTTCCCTGACATAAAGTAATGTTTTCATTTATTATTACCTTTATCTAAACAAAACTCCATTCCTTAATCACAAGCGTTATACTTCGGTTGGAGTATTCAATTGAAATAAACAGCAAAAGTTGTTAAATAATAAGGATGCAGGTTTGTTTCTTAATACTTGCATTCACGCAGAGTTGCATTTTATGGTTAGCGTTTCTGTATATACTAAGGTCGTCGTTTATTCGTAATGTGTTAAGTCTTGGAAATTTTGTTAGTTTTATGTATGGAAAGCTATATACTGCGTGGGAAGAGATGAGATATTTATAGAACTCAAAGACACCGAATATGTATTTTTATATAAGATAGGTTTGAGAATAGAAACTCTGATTTCATAAATATTTGAACAGAAATTTTTTTGTAAATTAGCAATGCAATACTTGTCTTACACATTTTGTTCTAAGAGGTAAGAATTAATGATATATTCTTTTTTGACGAATTTCTAAAGTCAGTAACACAAGAAAATTGTTGTACTAGTTTTCGATCACCTTAATGAACATCTTTATTCATTGTACATAAATATATATTTATATGTATACACACATTCACATACATATCTATGAGAATACACGTTTTGTAAAAAATKACGAATTTCTAATATGATAAAAATTAGTGCGTTTATTTAGATATAGCTTTTTATTTATATATACTCTATCCGATTCTCCTTAATGATACATGTATATTTTTTTTTTAATTTTAAAGTTTTCAATGAAATATGTATGTACATATGTACATAAATGAATGTGGGTTAATGGTTGAAAATATTAAGATTATAAAAGCGTWTGAAAGTATTCATTATTAAAGTTAATATTTAAGAAATGTTTCAAAATCGATCCCACAATTCCTTTTCACTTTTCTCACTTGTGTTTAAAATATTATCAGATATCACATTGCATGTGCAATGTGCACATATTTAACAATCTTTGAATTTACAATGCAACTTTATATTTGGTTAAAAAGGCTCTTAAAAATTCAAAAAGTACTTGAAACGATAGAATTATTTAAATATGGCTAATTACACACTTTTTTGGACACAATCAATTTGGAGTAGCGGCAAAAAATGATATATGTTACTCATATCTATTTATTTAGATTTGTCCATTATGCGTTACATAATTGATTGGTTCAGAAAATGGCAGCTACCAATATGATGTTAAATACAATATACACATTTATTTTAATATAATTAAAGAGCAGAAAACATTGCCTTGGAATTATATTGAACAATTTCAAAACCAGTTGAAACTTACCAGAATTATGTAACATTTCCAAAACTTCTCCTTCTACTTTGATATTTGTTCCATCTGCTTGGTTCCCTATACTGTTTGCCGTGGCTAAACTTCCACTTCCATCAACACCAGTGTTAATAGGCACTGTGGTTGCTGATACCGATACAGTAGAGTTATGAGCATTTTTTGACATTACAAAACCTGCGTTATTGTGTTGGCTATTCATGACGTTGCGGGCACATGTAATTACGTTTAGCATAGATGGAGCATATGATGAACACGTCTGCATTGTATTTACATTCCCAGTGTTCAGAGGAAACGGGAATGGCTCAACGGCTGGTGTAATGAATGCCACTTGTGGTATATAATTTAAAGTACTATTGCTGTTTAAATTTGTTGTCACAATATTATTTGACCTGCTATCTACCAGATTTGTACAAGTAGTATCTTCTTCACTAACAYTCATAATTTGTACTCCTGGGGTCTTGATTTGCAATGGCAAAGCTGAGAGAAGTTCCCACTAAAATGAAATATAAACGTGTGCTTATATCTAACGAAAAATATTGTTAATAGGTTGTTAATCAGTTGATTACACAATTATAATAGGGTTTTTATTCATACCAAATGTACTTTATACAATTTCTTAGTTTTAGTTACTTCAGGATCAGTTAGTTAAGAATGATTACAGTTTTTATTGTTTGTATTTTAAGTTGATGAAGTAACTATTGACTTTACATTGGCCTTGACAGTTGAGAAATCAGTAATGTCTTAAATATGTTCTTTTTTTGTTTTTAATTTTTGGTATATGGGTATGCAGATGAATTTCTTATTTTAACACTTTAATTATATTTTTACTTTTAAAGGTTGGAAGCATTCTTGGCACAATACGGTATAGTTGTTTATATAYTTTCTTGTATAGATATTTTCAATAATTTTTGTTAAATTTTTATCACATTTTTACCTGTCGCGGTTTATATCCGGAAGGATTCTGGGCGCATTTAAAAGTCTCGCTCTGCTCCTCTAAACCGCAGATGAATTGAAACGAACAAAATATGATGGGTACAATGATGGCAACGCTACTGCGACGTTGACTGCGACGCGTTGGTAGGGTGGCAGAGCTGCTTCCAACTTTTTCAAATTCTTGATCCTGGTATCAAAGTCAAAAGCCCGCTATTATTTAATTATTTTAATTTATCTATACACTGTCTAAAATACCAAATACACTCCGTACAAACTCGGTTTTCAATCAAAATTGTGCTTCTCTCTGACAATGGCAAATCAAAATAATGAGTATAAAACACAGCAATGTTTTTGCAAAGTGCTTGTATTGCTCTAGTTGAACTAAAATCGTATTGAATGATTACCAGTGTTGCGTTGTTTTTGTGCGCCCGTGTATTCTTTAATCACGTAGTATGTTCCTCACGTTTTGTGGCAGAGGAAGTCGACTTCTTTTGCTGCATATTCACGTAACCCTGCAATTGACCGATTGTAGATAAAAGTTTTGTTTTTTAACTTAAGGATTATCAGGTAAAGAGTTGGTAAACATATCTAAACAAACAAATTTAATTAAAACTAGTTAATTCTCGTTCATAAATGGATGTAAACAAGTGCTGCCAACCACTTTTACGAACAATACATTCCAAAAATAATCATATTTACATACATATATTTTGGAATATTAATAAATATGAAACAATATATTAATTTTTGGAAATGTAAAGTACTTAATACAACATTTGAATTATTCGCAAGAATGATAAATATATGCGTGATATATGTGTGTACATATATGTATGTCATTATTTCATATGTCGAACATAACCTATAAATAAACCTTTAAATTAGACTGGGGATGCTCATATTATATATGTATTTGTAAATATTCATTTATTCATGTATTTATTTTGAAATTATCTAGAATTTATATCTTTTTTGGTTATACCCATTAAATCATAAAAAGTAAAAAATTCAAACCTCTATCTTTGCCTTTAATTKTTATCTATAACGTTTGACTGTGATTAGTTATACATATTTTAGAGGAGAAATAAATTATCAATTTTATTATAAATTTAAAATTTTTTATAATTGATAAATTGCATCATGTACAAATGTATGCATAGGATTACGAGATGAATAGAGGAACGTACACACACATATACACACATATCTATATATCTACTTGAATTTGTTTGCGTGTTTTTATATATGTACAAAAATGGCATATAAAATAAAATTTCTTTTTCAATATGTGAAATTTGGTGACATTGCTCATTGCTTCATAGTGGTCATAATTTAACATACGTTTTCTTTTTTTTATTTGTATAGCATAATTTGAAGACACGTTGGATAATTCATTCAGAGTTGAATTTAAGAGATCCTTTGAAATTCTGTACAATTAGTGTCCGTCATACATGCATACATACATATGTATGGGCAATTTCAATTCCCTACTAAAGTATTGTATGTACATATGTTTATATATTATTTGTACATATGCATGTTAATGGGAACGCAGTTTAAAAGATGCAGCTCAACTTGATATACGTATGTATGTACTTTAACAGGACAAACCACTCGACGCAGTAGCGACAAAAGGTGTCATAGTCAGTGAAAACGGCTGCGTCACTTTAATGAAATTAAAACAAAGCATTGAAGTTTTTTTTTTAATTTGAATGAGTTTCAAATTAATTAAATGCAGTTATGGCTTATTATTTTAACAATAATAAATATCTTGCATATAGTGATGGCAAATCGATGCGTTGTGTGTAGACTTTAAATAACAAATTTGATATTAGCCTGCCAATATATTTATACTATATATTAATAACAAAAATACTTACTACCGAAAATAAAAGAAATGTAGAGAATGTATTGTAAAATATATATATTGGAACATTACTATTTTTCAACATTCCTCTATTCCAATATGTATGTAATATTCTTTTATAACTTCCGTGCCCCAGCGGAACACGCTTAGTATCCGCTTATAATGCCTACGGGTAAAAAAAACTTACCAATGTTTATGTTAATATATCACTAAAAACTAAATTATAATTGAAAACTGTAACTATAATAATTTTGTTTTAAATATTTTTTTCGCAATTGTTTTTTAGTTTTAATTTTGTTCACCTTTCTTTTCTTCCCAAGCTCTTATGACAGTGCTTTACTTGTCGTCATTTCAGTAGCTTGAGCAACCCTGCTACTGTCAATCAATAAAGTACTTTGTTGAATATTATTGAAGTAATTGAAGATTGTGAATTAGATCATTTACTATTTAGTTAGAATATGTATATATATTGATATATTTAATAAAATCTACCTTTACTAATAATAATTTCGTACGAGTTGTAGTACGACAATTAAGACATTGAAATTAAACATTCAATAAGAATTTTAAAAGTATGTCACTAATCGATAAATTACAAGAGCCTGATGACAACATACCATTGGCCGATGAGGACACACAAGGTATTTAAAATATGAAATTGTTCTTGATAACAACTTACTGTATATAATTTTATTATAGTGATTATTAACGATGATGATCCACATCAACATATGCCAAATGGGCATTCGATGGATTCGCTCCGCTCGTCATTTACTAACCGCAGCTCCACCCCTGATTCATCACACAATTCATTAGAAGTAGATGTAAGTCCCGATGAGAAGGAAGAAAAAGCTCGCCTTATTACACAAGTATTGGAACTGCAAAATACACTCGACGATCTTTCACAGCGTGTTGATTCTGTAAAGGAAGAAAACTTAAAATTACGTTCTGAGAATCAAGTGCTTGGACAATATATAGAGAATTTAATGTCAGCTTCCTCTGTATTTCAGTCAACAAGTCCAAATGCAAAAAAGAAGTAAAACATTAACAGGACTAATAATAGTCCCTTAAGCGGTTCGATTGGGCTTAAAAATATTTTTTTTTTTTACATTGCTGAGTTGTAAGTGTTCCGCTCTTGATATTCAAATAATCTAGTGTAATTTCTATAAGTTTATTTCATCAATTTTTCCTTACATTATTSATTAGTTTTTAGCAAAAAAATGTTTCTTATCAATTAAAAACATTTATAGCAAACAGTACGTAGCGCTTTGCACACATTTACTTCGCGATACCAAATAAAATGCCTTTATCTGAACAATAGTTTTTATTAAAACATAAGCATTTTCCACTAACTAAATAGTTCATACTAACGAAATCCAAAGTAATTTTGAAAAAGCTTTCCGTTTGGGTCTTCTACAGGAATAAACTAATACAAGTGTAAATTTCCAGGCTTTCTGCTCTGCGGTTCGGACGTTCGGAATATAACGTTATAAGAAAATGATGCCAGATGTATTCCGACCAACGTATACTTTCTTGATTAGATTAATAATTTGCAAGCCACAAAATTAAAAAAAAAAAAAAATTTTGTGTGATATTAATTTTTCGTTTAATATGTGTATGTAATAATTTTAATTTTTCATTATAGTAATACTTTAAAACTCCATTACYATGAGAAAAGATTGACCTAGCCGCCGTTCCCACGACAGTCGGGTCTACGTAACCGGAACGGACCAGGATTTTTATCCGGCCAAGGAATGTCAACTCGGCAGAAATCTGCCGCTACAACAATATTGGCCTAGCYGCACAAAAGAAAACAAATTTATAACGGGTCGAATGAAATTCGCCATATTTTATTTTTTTTATTTGTACATTATATCATATATACATATATATATAAATCAATTACCGTCTATAAATCTTTCTTCAAAATTAAGGTATACGATTATTTCTAAAATGCTTAAAATCTATTGTTGGGCTGTCCATATGGATTATACCTCTGAAATCTATTGTTTTGGTGACCACCTCTATGTGGATTTTGTTGGTGGTTTCTGTAATTATTGCCACCAGAGAAGTTGTTTCCATGATTGTTTTGAAAATTGTTGTAACCAGATCTAGATTGAAAATTCTGTTGAGGATTTGGTCCTCGCGGATAATGTCCCCGATTGTTTCCACCCATGTTATAAGAGTTCCTTCCCAAACTGGCCTGAACCATTCTGTGTCCACCAGCACTTAAATGTCCAGTTGGGAGGTTCCTATTGAAACCAATAACTGGTCTATTGTGACCAGACTGACCTTCTGATCTAGAGTTTAAGACATTTGGTGGGTCTATTGCATTAGTAAGACGTATGGCAGGAAAAATAAAATCACTGTCATATTCTGGATCCCGAAAACGAAAGGTTATAATTTCGTTCGACATTATATTAGGTAAACCATTTATTGGCGATTTTAATGTGCCTGAGATTTTTATGTTATCTTCTGCTTTTAAAATACTTCCAGCCATTCCATCCAAAACAACCTTAATTTCGTTGTCCATAGAATTAAGTGATTTCAATTGATGTTTCAACCATTCAAATTTATGATGCAATTGTCCAATATATAAACGATTGTCGCCCCTCTTATTTCGCCGGACTTCCTCCTCTGTTAGTTTTTTATAAAAAGGCTCAAGCGCTTTAAAAAGCCTCCGTTCGTCAACAAAAGGCAGTAAAGCTACTCCTTGCCAAGCAAACTTTTTACCATTTAAATCAATTTTAAAGTCCTCTGGGTAAAAATCGATAATTGGTGAATCTGGATCAGACATTAATGTTGCCCATGGTTTTGGAACATGAGAAGAGCTGGCAGCGGGAAATACACCCATCAACTGTTCTAATGGATTAAACGGTTTTGTGCCTTTGTCAAAACTTGTAGATAAGCCAGTAATGTTCACAAAATCGGATGCAAATGGTGCGTAATGGTATGGAAAATACCAATCCCATGAAGCACAACCTTGATAATAATATTTTAGAACCCAGCAAAGTCCACGCACATATTGCAAAGCAACTGAATACCGAAAGCCTTGATTATTAGTTCCAACATCAAACTTCGATTCGTAATACCGATTTTTGAAACCAGCTTCGTGTAATCTTACCTCGTCATTGTCATTTTCGTCAGAATCGTTATCAAGACCTGCTTCTGCAGCAGTTCTTTTAACACCTTTATTATTTTGAGTTCTCAATTTTACAGCTTCTTCTTTATAGTTAAATGCTTGTTTTGAATTCGATGCTCCTCGATTTACCGCTGTTGGTTGGAAAAATGAGGATACACCAAGACTTTCAGCTTTATATTCGTTTTCTCGCTGGCGCTTCTGTCTTGCCCTAAATACCAGCTCTCGGCGTTGCCTCTCTTTAAATATATTATCTTCAACATTACCCAAATCTGTTAGAATCATTTGAACACGTTGCAGATTGACTTCTCCTGAATTCGTTAAATAGCCACCTGTCTTATATACACATTTTTTATATAATTCCACCAATCGATCCACTGCGCCTTCTCTAATTTCAAGACTTGGTAAATGTGGTAAAAAGTCATTTCCAACAAAGAAGCACATAAAAACCCAGTCATCCAAAGCACGCTCAAAATCATATTTAAATGGTAAATTAGGCATTTCTAATGTCTTTTTGAGGTATTCTCGAAGAACACTCAATCTTACGAAAATAAATCTAACTTCAGCGTTTATGGGAACGTCCGGTTTAAAGCTTTCATCTTTCGATCCACTTGCATTTCCTARTCCTACACATTTCTGCATTTCATGTCCATATTGTTTACATATATCACATGGGCGAGGTTTATTTGGTAGAAACTCTTCTCGTATGATTGTGAAATTCGGTTCATGAGTAGCAAGTCCTAACATAATTAAATCTGCATCTGCACCACAAAGTACATGTTGAGTATTGGCATCGTGATCTGGTTGAGCCCTTTGTTTTCGAATATAGTCCATTATTTTGTGTTCACCTTCCCCAGGGACATTCGCATCTGACAACACTACTTTTATTCCTTTCCAAGCTGGGTTTGTGTTCATACGGTCGTGTATATAATAATGTAAACACTTACTTAATCTGTCCATAAACGGTGTACCTGGTGTTATACAATTGGAATCGAAGTGTTCCTCGTCAGTTTTTTCAGGTGGGAGTATATATCCCTTGACTAAAAGTTCGTCTCTAATTTTTTGTATTTCCATTCGTTTTTCATTTGTTTCCTTAGCAGCTCTGAAGCGCCGAGACCTCTGTTGATTCATTTTCGCTCTTGGCGCTACACCGTCAATTGCCATATATAATAATTTTCGAGGGCGAACAATACCAAACAATCTGTCAATGCATTCAAATATCGCTACCATCATTTCATCTTCATTTTTCGGAGCTGGCTTATCTTCAGGATGTGTGCATGGATGTATAATACCATTCATATCCAAATAAAGATTATCAAATTCAATTCCATTAGGGTTTGGTAGTGTAGCGTCTTCGTATATTGTTTGTCCGGTGTTTGGATCCAAATTCTTGTTTTCTACACAATCAACGATGACACATGCATATTTCTTACTTAACCATCTAAAAAATGCTGGAACTCCCATTATAGTAACTTTAAAAACTCCAAATTTCCTTACAAATTGCTAAAAAACGAGGAATTTTATTTCTTAACCAAATAAGCGGACAACATGGATAATGTTAATTATCAATAGACATTATATTGTGAATAGCAATGCAATAATTCATTGCAGCTAACTTTTGGCTGATGTCTTTGCTTGCAGCATTGCTTTCGCTTGAAGTTATTTTAATGAATGCATTTTTAAGAGTATTTTGGAAAAAATCAGCCCCTCAATTTCAAACATATTCAATATAAATTAAAAATAATCAATGTATGTGTAAAATATTTTAACTAATAAAAGCGATAAATATCTTTTACTTATGACTTTCAGCAACAATAATCGGTTCTCCAATTCATTATTTGTATTGGTATGGCAACGCTAGTGTTGATTATAAAACAAAAGGGATCAAAAATACATTTTCCTAATGGTAGTGATTTGTTTTTAATTGTATTCAGAAAATTGCTCTTAACAAATGAAGTGCAAAGCCAAATAAAAGGCACAGACTTTTATAAGAAATCTTTTTGAATTAATTGTATTGCAAATAATGTAGCAGTAGTGGACAAACAAATTATGTGAAGCTTATTCATTTGTGAGTCGTGATAATTGCGAAAGGTTGTATCGAAGTATGTGGCAATTATATGAAAATAATAATACAAGAGGTGTTAAATGACTTTCGTACAGTATTACATATAATTTTCGGCTGTGATATTATTAGTGTGCAAATCAATAAACGACTAGTGTGAGTTCATATCAAGTTTTTGCTTTGTTTGCTTGAAAATTATAAATGAGATATAAAGTGATAATCGCATACATAGAAATAATACTTTTGTATATCACTTTAATTCGTTCACAATAGTGCAATGCAGTTGTGCATCATCCACGTTTTCATTTCCTTTATTTTTTCATACTTTATGTTTCTGTTTGTGGCAGCTGTTCGCGACCAGAAGTGATTGAAAAATATCGATAGTCAACCCATTTATTTGTCCTATCGATAAAGCTAAACATCATTTATTAAATATAATTATATATTATAATAATGAAATAATTGTATATAACAACGATTGGTAAAAACCCAAGAAATTCAAATTCAAAATGAAATCAACATTTTGTTGTAAAACAGATACTYCTATTCGTTACATTCATAATAGTTCTTCAAAAGCTTTTTTAATCGATAATACAGAATGATTTCGATACTCCGACAGCTGCTAGAGTTAATAAAATATCTTTGTTGAATGTAATTTTCTCATTGGAATTAATTAAATTTGTTATTGTCTTTTATAGCAAATTTTATTTTCTATTACTTATATTTTTTATTATAAATAAACTCTAGAATACGTTGAAGATTACAACAACAGCAAATCCCAGATAACACAATATTTATTTAATGGAATACGTTTGTATATATAGACAAAAGTGCATTGAAATGAATTGCAGCAGCTGTAGTGAAATGCAAAAAGAAACACTATAACTTAGTGATAGCCATAATAACATCAAAACCCATTTAAACTATTATGGCGTACCAAATCTTGAAAATGAATTATTGAAATACATATACATATTTGTATCTGGTAAGCATTGCTTGACGGGTATAAGAGCAAATCACTAACCAAACCAATTAAAAATCATTTATTCGTGGCAAAAAAGAAAATTTGTCTATACTTCTCAGTCATCCTTGACATCTAATTCCTTGGTATTACACTTTTGTAAATCTTCTGACTGGTCAATGGCTGACTTCGATGCAATTTATGAAGACGAACAACTGGAGGAGCACTATGAAGATCAAATGGTCGCACCTGTCCCAGAACCAATCATTATTCGAGGTGCTGGCAACATGACAGTGTAAGTTATTCACAAATAATTAAGAGGGAACTTCTTATTTAAGCACTGTCAATAACACTTATTAATTAATTAATTAATAAAAAAAACGTCAAAAAAGATTCAGCAAAAATTGTTTTTATTTTTGTGAAAAAATTGTTATAAATACAATTATCAATTTTTTCCTTCGTCCAATACCTTGTTTATTGTCTTAATTAAAAMGTATTTTTTTCTTATTACTTTGAAAATATCACAAACTCTTTGTAAGCTTGAATAAAATATTTCACGTTTTTGGAAAACAATTATTGAAAATAGACCGTTTTCTGCTGGAGGAAACCCAATGTAACCTCTTAAAACAATTGAGTAAATTTAAATGAATATTCTTCTAGTATTCTATTAAAAACTATTATTATTAATATTAACACAAAAAAGTAATAAAAAATACTACATTTTTTAAATAATTATAATTACAGATTTGGTTTGAGTAATCGTTTCAACACAGAATTTCCCTCGGGTCTGGTTTCGCGTGTTGCACCTGAAGAATTCAAGGCAACAATCGGACGTATTAATGGAATTTTGAAGAAAACATTACCAGTAAACGTGAAATGGCTATTCTGCGGCTGTGTATGTTGTTGTTGTACATTAGGTTGTTCCCTTTGGCCAGTCATTTGTTTGAGCAAACGGGTATGTATGATCGCATATTACATAAAAATAACAAATTTACATTAGTAATTTTATTACCGTTTATTATTAAAAATTAAATTATGCATGTTGTGCATTTCTAGACGCAAAACACTCTTGATAAGCTGCTTGAATGGGAGAATAGCCATTTGTATCATAAACTAGGCCTGCATTGGCGACTTCATAAGCAACAATGTGATTCAAATTCGATGATGGAGTATGTGCTGCGTATTGAATTTATACCGAAGACGCCTATTTATCGTCCGGATTAAATAAACATGATTTGAAGATCGAACATCATTTTAAGCGGGGGAAGGGGGGTTTTAAGTCGGCCTTGGGCTTTGATTATGCATAGAGTTTGAAATAATTTTTATTAGAATAACTGGAAGAAACAATACAACTATAAATACTAATTAAAACCAATCGAAACTATTAGTTTGTATATATGAACTTATACGTATTACATACATATATGCACTTGCTAATATAACTATTATAGAAAAGTTAAAAAATGAACCGTCAGCTGATATTGAATTGCCATTTGTGCGCAACTATAAAAAATAGTTATATGAATGGAAATGTAAGGAAGAGTTTGAAATAATTTTTTTGCGAACGGTTTAAATGATTTTTTGGGGTTGCTTTTACTTATCTTTTTTTTGCTTTCGCCCATACGCCTGTTGCTATGGTCACTTAGAAAAATATAGCAAAATAATTTCTGCTAATTAATTTCTGAAAATGTGATGAAAAATATAATAAAACATTTGTAATTTAATTTTAATTTACAAGAATTTAAAGAAAACATCTAATATTAATTGAAAGCAAATGCTTCAATGAGAAGATTGTATTCGCTTAGAATTAAGTCACTTACATTTATTTAAAAAATGCTAATAAAGATTGTATATTTAAAATAAATAAAGAAAGTTGTTGTTTTCTCGGTTAACATGTAGTTGTATTTCCCTCTTTTTGTTACTCTGGGCTTGAACAAATTATCTTAAAAAATGTTTAAGAAACTATTATTCAAAAGAAATTATATATTTTTATATTGGTATAAGATCGTATGTACATATCGTCACCTAAAATGCAAAATAACGTAACAACATTTTCGGAAATTTACAGGAGAAAGAATGAAACACCTTATAAAATGGAACATGAGTTAAACMAAATTTAAATATTGGTAAAAACTTGGTTATATCTGATAGCAGAACCATAAAATGTTGTAGATACGTACTTACATGTATGTAATTTGAAGTAGTGGGACGTAATCAATGAAACACTCAATTTCGCATTTTTTGATCATACCTTATTTTGCATTTTAGGTGACGATAAATAAAATATGTTATTATTTCATTTATAGATTTTATTTTAAAATATGTACTAAAATTTAACACGATTGTGCCAAGAGGAATGAATGAGTACTAACAAAAACATTTCAAAGGGAAAGCGCTAATAAATCAAAAATTCTAAGTTTATGTAGTTAGGTAAATTAGTATGTTGAATTGTTAATAAAACTGTGTATCCTATGAGTTTAATTAAAATAATATGGTTTTATAATTTTGTCGTATGACCTTGTTTAAACCTTGTTAATTCACTAGTTAATTGTCGCAAAGCGCTAACAGAGTTCGTTAATCTCTTTTTTTRTACAAAAGGCTTTTATGAATGGCACGGTGGGTATGCCTTCCCTTGCTTTTCACGCTAATTCTTTCAATTATTGCAGTTTGGGTAGTCGTAACTTACTGGGATATACCGAAAAGGGCTTAATGCATTACATTTTAAGTACATCTTTGTTTAACAATATTCATATTTTTTTTTATTTATACATTTACTTCAAAACAAAGATATTATAATAATCCAGAAAATATAACGTATAAAATTTTACTTAAATATTCATTTCAAATGAAATATGCTTTAAAAAATAGAATTATGGGTGAAACAATAYTTCATTCTATTTCAAATTAAATTAAAGTTCACCTTAACATAAATTATTTTATGCTTATATATTATCAAGTCTTCGTGCGGCTTTGGAATGTTGCGCAATGGATTAAATTAATTTGTTTACGATGAAAATTCTGTAGGACTTTATTTAAATAATAATGCATTAATCTACTATTTGATCACATGTTATACACAAACATATTGCGAGGCGCCAAAGCTTTGAAAATAGCTTTTTTACCTCGAACATCTTTGCTTTAGGGAATACCTACAAGCGTTTTAACGCTGGAATGTGCAATGCACTTAACTTATTATTAAATGTTTAAAATATTTGAACTCTTCTACTTTAATTCTATTAGCCAAGTATTTGTATGGGATCAGAGGTACTGCAATTTTTTTCACCACATTCCTTTTCTTCTAGCGTATTCTGCGCTCCACCTGGTTTTTGCACCATACCATCAGTGCCATTATTCTGCAGATATTCGCTAACATCATACTCGTATCGATTTTGTTCATCGTCCTCATCGTCATCTTCAGTTAACTCCAATTGTGCGTGTATATTTCTCATTAGTACTTTGACGTCTTTTTTACTCTCCTCCAATATTTCTTTATGTTCAACTTTTGTTTTGTTTAGACCGTTGAGTAGAACCTTCACATTTTCCCCAGAACGTGCTTGTATTTGTCGTGTGTGCGCTTTTCTATTATTTGTAAACTGTTTCTGAGCCTGTTTCTCCAGCCTCTTCTTACGTTTTTCCAATTTTACTGCGCTTCCCAAGAGTTCTTTGCTCATCTGTTGAAACTGATGTGCTTGTTCTTTGAATGCTTGCATCAATAGCGCATCTTGTCGCATCTGAAATTCATGTTCCTCTCGGGCCAATTTCATTTGACGCTTGAAAAATTCGTTGATCGCCTCGCGTTGCATTTGTCGTAAAGAAATAGCCATATCTTGCAATACGCTCGTATAGCCCTGGTTGCGTTCGGTGTTATCTGGTGAAGTCTGTTCTGCGCCAAGATGCGGTTGCGTTTGATATATAGAATTGTCTTCCTCATTTGAACTGCCATTAAGTCCATCGTCGTTGTATTGACTACTATAATCCAGTTTCGCCTGTAGGGATGTGGCCTTTGTAAGAGTTTCGGGTGCGCGGCTTACACGCTTTACCGGCATTGCATTCATGATTGATGCCTTTAAACGTCGCTTTCGTGCTTCGATCTGTTGAACTTGTTGTTGCTGTGCCTGCTGACTGGTTGACGGTCCATCTGGGAACCCGTAAAAAGGTTGAGGCGCTCGGTGTTCGTGTGGCGCCACTGGTGCTACATTAAGGTCGGGCATTACAACTTCTTGTTGACGTATGTAAGGGTGCACGGCAGTTTGATTTTCTGGAGTTGTGATCGTGACTGTCTGTGGATTTATATTGGCAAGTTTTCGCGTAAATGTCAAAATGTGGTTATTGGAGTTGCCTTTACCATTAATGGCATATGTGCCACTACTATAGGCGCTACTAAGGCGTAATGTATGTGATGTCGGATTTATGGTAAGTGGTGGCGGTGGTAAATTTACGTTAGAATCGGCCGTAATCTCGCTGGGCGGCATCTTAGCGAAGCGAGCGATGCGTAGCGGTGGTAATGGTGCTGAACTTGATGTGTTATTTGCAGCTGCCGGCTGTGCTTGGGATGCACTTATGCCTGATTTACGCGTACTCGTRACGTTTGGTGTTGATGTGGTGGTGGATGTGTTGGTAGTGGTTGAAGGGCGCGTAGAGCGTCGGCTTAATATCATTATTTCTGGTAGAGATTGCCGTTGCGGCTGTTGATGTTTTGACTGCTCTTCGGCTGGTACCTGCGGAGATGGTGATGTCGATACTGTTGGTGCATCGTCTTCTTCTGTTACTTCTTGTTTAACTTCGGTTTGAAATTGTATGCTGGCTGTTGAGTCCTTTTCCTTAACGTCAGAACATTCATAACCTGTATTGAGACAAATAGACGTTTATATAAGTTAAATGCTCAACTTATAATAATATTGGAGTAATATAAAATTTAAATTGAAACTATATACTCGAAACCGCATATTCACACCTGTATCTGCGGGTTCTTGTTTAACTAGCCCCAAACGAAAACCAAATATCGGATGTGCCAGACCATTCTCTTCGTCTGATTCGGGACCAGCAACACGACTATGCAATGAACTTTTGTCCGCCACATTATAGCCCCCTTCAACACCAGATATAACCAATTTGCTGTCACTGCCATTACTACAATTATTTGGTGTGTCGCCATTTGAATCGTCACCATCGAGTGATGTGGTTGAGTTTCCACAATCACTGGTCGAACGGCCTGARCAGCTGATATTGGCGTTTTGCAGCATTTTGTGCAATTCCTCATAGATCGGTTGTGGTATCATTTTCGGTATTATGCCATTGCGACGGGATGTCGTGTAAGTCGATTTGAGAAATTTCCACTTGGTCCAAATTTGTACATGTGATTTCTTTCGGAAGCCGCGTAAATGCATTATCCTTTCCACTTTACGAAATACTAGTTCGCTCTTTATAGTTTTAACGCTAAGCATTTCGAGCGCTTTTATTTCTTGCATAATGATCAACATTTCCATGATTTCATTGGTGCGCCAGAGATTGCGCGGCATGGCGTTGTTGTTCTGTATGGGCGTAAGTAAGGCATCCACGTCGCYTACAATGCCGGTGGCGGTCGCTGCCGTATCCAATAATTGATTAATGTGTTGTTGTTGCATGCTTAATGTTATGCTCATATCTGGATTATAGCCGTTAAGGTGATATTGTAGTCTTGGCATAAGCATGTATGAGCTGTTTTAATATTCAACCGAAAGCGGAGCGTTTTGTTGGCGCGGACTGAAAAACGATAAGAAAGCGCCACTGCATTAGGATTATTACTGTTATAAATAAATAAATTTTAAAATAATTTAATTATTAGGTTAGGTAAAGTTATACTGATTTTCTCTCACGCCATACATAGACCTTAGACTATAGATCCTTTATAATGCTAGATGGAGATTCAGTTTCATGAAGCTGGAGTGTACATAGTCCCTATCGTTAATGCTTCTTGGGTTTACTAGCGACACCATTTGGCGCATTTCCTGTACTGGTTCGGTAGCGAAGTGGATGGTCCGGAACCCAGCTTATATTCAACGGCATTCCGGCAACCCACATATCTACTATCTACCTGCTTCTAAGAACATTCTCTGACGCAGTGCGAAGTGAGATTACTGTTTTAATTGTCGCGATCGATGTATGTATTGATGTTATGTCGTTTCTAGAGACCTAAGATTGAGTTCACAAGTTTTCATAGGCTCGAATGATATTGTAATAGTATTTTTATATATCTTTTCTATCGATCGGCTAACCCAAATCATATCCTATAATATTCTCYAAGTATTGTGGATTTAGCATTTGAAATAATGAATTTGAGTTACTACTTACTACTGAATTTGGTC